GTAGGCTGATTGGACACTCGAAATTGTCGCTGGGTGTGAGTGTGATGGTTGTTCGTCTCTGTGTGCCCTGCGATTGGCTGGCAACCGGTTCAGGGTGTCCCCCGCCTAATGCCCGAAGGCAGCTAGGATAGGCTCCAGCAACCCCCCGCGACCATTGGAGCCACCTAATGCGGCTTGTAAATCTGGCGATCTCCATGATTTCTGTTTCTGTTACCAGCTGCGCACACAGTAATTTAGTTGAGGAGCACGCAATTTTTCACACGGCGTTTGAGATCTGAATTGATCAGGCCCAGACTTCTCAAGACTGAGTAAAAGGTAAAACCATGTCGAAATCCCTTCATTGTGAGTGCTCTATGTTCATGATTAATACATTTTTGATGCCCCCGTCATGTGTGAAAACACCCTTTTTTTTTCCCCCCCCCCGATGACCGCTATTCAATGTTCCATAATGACTGAGAACGCTTGCGTCACATGAAGAGACGCGTGTCGGTGCCCGTGTCTGTGTATCCTCCTACTCCCTATGCCGTTCCATCTGTCTTGCTATTTTGGAGTGAGATGTCAGCCTCCTGCCGCGCACGAATCTAATGAGCTGAACCGTGACGGGCTTTGTGTGGACGAGGACTCGGCCTGTCACTCCCCGCTGGGAGAAAGCAACAGGATTCGGGTCACTTTGTCTTCTGCACTCCTATTTGTGAAGTATCTTATGTGGCCTTCAAGTACGTCCTCCACGTGGGAATGTGTTTGAGATGGAGGCTCTGTTTTTTTTTGTTTTTTTTTGGACTGTGATTTAGCAGTCTTATGTTTGAAGATGTAGAAAAGTTCACTTTGTCAATAGTTGAATTCAAAAAGTGAATGTCACATATACAGTATATTCATTGAACACAAAGGAAAATACTTTTCAGAAAGCAAATTGCTACACAATTTCTATCTGTAAAAAAAGAAAAATCATATTCTTGCTTTCTTTTGTAAAATTCTACTTTCTTGAGCCGGTAAGTTTCCATTTGCTGGAAGCTATTACTGTCAAAAGTGAAAAATGAAATATTTCACTTTGTGTCGAGCTGGAATTGAACCTCTGCACCGTGAGGTCGACACGCGAACCACTGCCCCACCGGGCCGCCCTACCGAATATCATTATCGATATTTTTAGTGGGCTAAGTGGAAATGAGAAAAAATCGCAAAGCAGCTGCAGTGACGATTGTTGGCAACTCGTCGCATCCATTTAATGATTCATGTTGTCCGCAATTAATTGCTTACCTACTGCGTCACACTCAGTGGCACACACGCAAACACATACACAAGCCGGGGTTTCTCAGCATGGCTGACCTGGAAGGTCTTGTCTCCATCCTCGTGTGATTTGAATTCTTTTTCCAGAGCTTGAAGGCCCCCTTAACAATCGAGCCCCCCCACCCCCTTCCTGTTCTGCATCTTCAAGTGCATCTACTAAACAAAAAGATTTTTCATTTTTATCCTGCCTTGCCATGGTGTGTTTTTTTTTTTTTTTTTTGGTTCGTTTTTTTCTCCGTAACGCCTGCTTCTCTTCACTCAGGCCGTCTTTGATGTGGATAAGGCTAAAGGGCTGACTCTCATAGAAGTGTGGGAGGGAATCACTCCAGAAGACATCAAGGGGTGCACTGGTACCGACTTTGAGGTCAGTCCTTCGAAACATGATTAAATAGTCTCATGGATCATTTGACTAATCTTTTTTTTTTTAATTGACACTTTCTAGGTGTCCCCCAAACTGAGACCCATGCAGCAAATCTAGAAATGAATCCCTCTCTCTTCTAATATCCTCAATGAAGGCCAAAGTGATGTTGAAGTGATTATTGGTAAGCTCGAGATGAGCAATCGGCAAGAGTTGTTATCCAACAAGAAGCCTGCTGCTGTAAGTTTGCGAGTGGCTTCAAAATGTAATCCCCCACCAACTGTGGCCGTCCCTCCATAATAGAAGCCGGTTGCATCATCCATCAAAAGGCAAATAAACACCTTCCTCCCATAAGCTTCTCGGGAGAAAACCGATCTCAGTTTCACACATGAATGTTGAATACTTCACTTCCAGAACCTGTTTGAATTCTGTTGCTAACCAAAACAGCAGCGCTGTCGATTCCCTGACCAGTACAGAAACGTGCGATCACTTCACAACAGTGAGTGCGTCCATGTTTATGGTTGGAGGAGCTACATGCCCTATTGCGCCCAATCTGCTTTATTTCTTACCGTTTCTTTGCCTTTCTACCTGATTAAGCTTTTTTTTTTTTTTTTTTTTAATTTAAACTTCAGTTTCACTTCACATCAGTATAATAGGTTGTTAACATTGCAAATCATCAATCCCGCGGCCACCTTTTGCAGTACTACAATGTTCTTTTCATGTTCTCGTTAGTCAAATACAACTCTTCTAGTGTTTACGGTGCAATATCTTTAATTCCCGGAGTTCTAGTTACTGTAGAATCAACTTGTTACTGAATTTAAAAAAAAGGAGTTTTAAAGTAATTTGTCAGGACCTCACACAGCATACAACGAATGAAATGTTGATGGAAACTCAAACTTGACCATGTCGACGTAAAACAGCGTTTTGTTACTTTTTTGACAAGACTACAAGAGGAAAGATGAAGACGCCTTCGTTTGTTTGTTTGTTTTTTTTTTCTTATATTCATAAATCTGCTCTTCCCTTCAAGCAATAAAAGGTGCTGTTGGTTGCTTTGTGGAACAAATGTGTTGCTTTTTTTTGTTTTTTTTACTTGAATGAGCTGATTTTTTTTTTTCCAGGTGTTACTAATCGGCAGGTAAAGCAAAGAGCTTCAGGTCCGTGTCTTCTATAAATGGAACGGTGGGCTCGCGTCCACGTTCGCCATGCGATTGCCTCACTCGAGTCAAGAGGCGGTCGCATTACCTGAGGCCGGTTACGTAACTGTAAGAATTTTGCCCCATGGGCGTATTTTGGGTTGAAGAAGATCAGCTGGGTTAGTCCATCAAGCGGAAAATCTAGACGAAAAGTGACAGGGCCTGTGGCGGCCGGCTGTTGATGTTAATCCAGCACGCCCCTTCATAAATCAACGAGAGCCCCCTTAAGCCTGCATATTGTAACCGAGTTAGCGCGGTGGCGCTGGGAAACAAAGTGACACATTTAAAGGGTTAAAATGTCAGAAAATCCTGGAATGATTTTTTTTTTTTTTTTTTTTTGCATAGGATGTTGGCATGTCTTGTGAGACGCCAGCAAATTTTGTGAGACATCAGTGCAATGAGGGTCGAAAGAATTAATTACTTGTGATTTTTTTTTTCTTGTAATGCCGCCACAAAGTAAAAGTATTGATAACAATGGGAAAACTTGACAATGGAAAGTGAATTTCTTGTGCTGTATTACTGGTACGCATGTCTCTATCCTGGCTGCCCAACACAGTTTTTTTTCAATGTACATTGTCCCGTTTTAAACACAATATTACACAAGAGGGGCAGACACAGCAAATTCCCACGTCCTCGTGGCGCAAGTTAAGACCGCACTTTGGAATCACCGTGCAGGAGACCCAGCTGGAAGTCGCTCAACACGTTATTGCAGCCCGTCACAATTTGGGTCGTGAATGTTGGAAGTTTTATGAGGCACATCATTTTTTATACTCGTCAAAGCCGCCGTTGATCTTTTTCCGGATCATGTTTGTCTCTTATTTAATGAGTTTTAATGTAACCTTTAATTGTACATCTTGGACATGAGTCACTCGAATATGACTTCAAAGCGACACTCCTTTTAATATCCCCCGAGGGGGAATTTTACATACTGTGCATATACAGTAAAGTTCATCATATGGAATACGCGTCTGAGGGACACATGCTTGCTCAGGATGTCAATGGGAATCTCTTCAGCAATTCCAAGGGTTTTTGCAATGTATTTCTTTATTTGATACACCTCTGGAACCAAATGATATATGTGAAAATACATCTACATTATCCAACAAATGAGTAAGTGACACTGTACCTCTCCATGTCAATAATAACAATATTGTACTGATTTCGATGTATGTGTACCCTTTAAAGGAACCAGTCAAGGTGAGGGTGGCCTCATAATAAAAGACCTGTAAAAAGTTCCCAAACAATCATTTTAATTTTCAGTGGGCATTTTTTAAACATAATTTCTAACTTAAAATGAATTGTCTACATATACAATGGCGTCCATAATGATTGGCATCCTCGTTAAGATGTTTTAAAAACCTTGATTTAAATTCAATTAAGCATTTTCTTATGCTGAAAATTGTAGAAATGATTCACCAGAACAGAATCAAGGACCTCTCATGGCCAACTCATTCCCCAGACCTCAACCCCATTGAAAATCTGCGGAGTTAGGTCAACTGGAGGGTGCAGAGGAAAGGACAATGGTCCCTGGATGATTCCAGTCGTGCAAAGGGGAGTGGCCCAAGATGTTGGCAAAAAGCAGGCAACGACCAATCATGGCTCACCTGTTTTCTGAGTTTGGTTAAGTTGACATTCGGCAAGTTGAACTGTGAGCAACTGTGATGTCATTTTCAGTCGACAACAAGTGGCAAAATGGCCGCCTCCTGAGATGGATAAACACGGTGGATTTTACTGCTTCATTCATATACCACAAACGCAACAGTAATCAGAATACCGTGTTTCGACTAGTGGAGCCAAATTGAACATTTTCTTATAGGTTGGGAAAAAAAATTCAAATGTTTATTTTTTTCGTTTTTTCTTCAGGAATTCCAAATCCGATATAAAGTTAATTTGAAGCATTTGAGATGTAACATTTATTACAAAGTATTATTGCTCCACGCACCTGTTAACTGTGGTAATGCCTTGCACATTCAGTCCAGTTCGGAAGACGATCCCATCATCGTAATTGTGCTACCCGTAGACGTGCACCGCCCGGGGTTTTGTGTGTGTGTGTGTGTGTGTGTGTGTGTGTGTGTGTGTGTGTGTGTGTGTGTGTGTGTGTGTGTGTGTGTGTGTGTGTGCGCGCGCGCGCGCTCGTGTGTGTTTGCGCGCGATGTGGACTGTCGCTTAACTTGCGTCTGGAGCGTGCGTGTGCGTCCAGAAAGGGCGGAGGAGGAGGTGGAGGAGGAGCGCACACTATATCCATCCATCCCTCCATCCACACATCCAACCAGGCAGACTGGTAGGCATCGAGTCAAGCTGGTTCCAGAGAAGCGTGTGCTGAGCACGGCGGTGGCGGCTGCAGCGGCGGCATGGCTTCGTCTCACGGGAGAAGTAGTGACCTGCGCTTCGCCGACTGGATGTCGAGTCTCCCGCAGAGCATGCACAGCATCCCGCTCACCAACTTGGCCATCCCCGGTGAGTAAATCCATGTGCTTCATCGGATGCGTTTGCCCGCGCGTGTGGATGTGTGGTTGGAAGATTTGGACACATTCTACAGGAGGTCCTTTACGATCAACGCGTACGTAAATCGGCACCATCACTATCCTACGCTACGCCGTAGTCAAAAAGTCAAACAATAAATATTCGAATGAAAAATCGCTTATCGTCCATTAATATAGAATGACAAAATGAAAACGGGTCACATAAAGTATTGTAGGCTCCGTATTCTTGTGTTATGAGAAGACACAGTCTTGCTCGAACGCCGTTCGTAACCTCTCGGAATGTCGTATGTCGACGCTGTTGTAAACCGAGAACGTAATGGAAGTCTCTTTTTGGTTGTGCAAGACCTGTTGCGCAACGTGACAAATTTAAGCCTTTTCACTAATACCGTAGACTTTGATTTTTTTTTTTATTTCCGATGGATGGATGGATGGATAGCTACTTTAATGGTGTGGATATAATTGATATCATTCATCGGATGCGTTTGCCCGCGCGTGTGGATGTGTGGTTGGAAGATTTGGACACATTCTACAGGAGGTCCTTTACGATCAACGCGTACGTAAATCGGCACCATCACTATCCTACGCTACGCCGTAGTCAAAAAGTCAAACAATAAATATTCGAATGAAAAATCGCTTATCGTCCATTAATATAGAATGACAAAATGAAAACGGGTCACATAAAGTATTGTAGGCTCCGTATTCTTGTGTTATGAGAAGACACAGTCTTGCTCGAACGCCGTTCGTAACCTCTCGGAATGTCGTATGTCGACGCTGTTGTAAACCGAGAACGTAATGGAAGTCTCTTTTTGGTTGTGCAAGACCTGTTGCGCAACGTGACAAATTTAAGCCTTTTCACTAATACCGTAGACTTTGATTTTTTTTTTATATTCGATGGATGGATGGATGGATAGATACTTTAATCGTGTGGATATAAATGGTAACTGCGGCAATTGTCAAATATATGCTCTCTATATATGAATAATATTGGTGTCACAAATACGAACATAATAGAAGATTCACATGATACAGTTTTGCATGTACCCAAAGGCGTGGTAGCCACACACACTTGAATAAATCCACTCACCTCACTCTTGGGGGGAGAAAAAAATTAAACAGATTAAGAGTTGTTGGATGTTGCCAACCAATGAGTGCACAGGTCTTCATAACCCCCCCCCCACCCTGCCTTTATGCAACGCATAAGTCAATTAATAATATGAAGCCATGATGGCAATCTGCAGATTTATCATACACTCGTCCGTGCTGCTCTGCTTTATTTTGTGTTTTCAAGTAAAGGCAGCACATTATGGTCGCCATGTTTGACTCACAGTCAGGAAACGGTTTGAATCCCTGTGTGGAGTTCCATGCTTGTGTGGGGTTTGTACTCTGGCTTTCTCCCGTAACCTCCAGAAAAACTTGCAAGGTTCACTGAAGACGAAATTGTCAGTATGAGTGAATGATATTTGTCTAGAAGTGCCCTGCAACTGCCCGGTGACCAGTTTGTAGTGACATGCACACGACAAAGATCAAAGATGACATGAACTCAAATGAAATGACAGGAAAACATTGTGGTGCAGAAAAACTCACCTATTCGCTGTTTTTGTGATCAGGCCTAAACTAAAATAAAACTATTACTTTGGTGCCTTCTCGGGGCAGTGGAGCAATTATGAAGTGTTAGTTCTAACAAATCCTTCAAGACCATACCTGGCTTTGTGTAATAGAAAAAGCACTCTATTCTGTCGCCAGTATTTAATGGGTGCCAGTTACTTGTGGATTTTCACTATTTGTGGCAGGGCTCAATCCTTATACACGTTCACTTGCAAGCTGACATGCTAGGTGTATGCACCGACATTTAATATATTCAGTTTGAAATCCTGGCAAATTTCCATGAATTCTCAGAATTTTGCAAAAAAATTTGACAGACCACAGAGAAGTGTTGTGAGCAAGCCTAACAAATTTGAATGAATTAAAAAAAAAAAATCACCAAGTACCGTATATAAAATGAAATTCCAAAGTGGTGGAAAATAGAGCCCGGCTGTCAGATGTTGTGTGCATGTCCAAAACCCGAATAGTGTGTCGAGAATCCGCCCCACTTAACTCTTTCGTCTCGCTCAAGTAGTTCCTGTAGAACGTACAGTATGTGCTCAATTGTCTGTCGTGTGAGTCACGGGCTGAAAAAACGAAGTGCCGCTCGCTGTGTGTAACAAACAGTCAACTTTCCCTGAAGAGTGTCTTCTACTCGGCTGCGGCGTTGGTGCCAATAAGTCAACGCTTCACTCGGTTTTGCGTAGCGCGTGGGTCCGCATGACATCGGTCTGGCGGGCGAGTCCGGAATCACGGCATTCAGCACTCGTCAGAGTGTCCTGGTACAAACTCAAAATAGTAACTGTATGTCCAGCTCGAAAAGGTGAATTTCTCCCATTCCTCCATTGATGTTTATGTGGTATGGTGTGGACACCTGAGTCATCGAATTCCCGAAAATTTGACAACCCATATTTGACGTCACCCCCTTAGATGGGAATGTGAAGTTGAATATTCCCACAATGCCTCACTATGCTCAAGATGTAAATACCAGATTTTCCATTCCTCACATTGCATAATGTATCGTTACTTGTTGAGTACCTTTAGTGAGTACAATGGTGTTATTGGACTCGTGTCCTCCTGTATTTTGTTACCCATTAATTTTTAGTTTTGATCCATGCACAATACATACATGAGAGACCGCCGTGACCGAGACGTACGCGCCGTTTGAGTCTTGTCAATTCTCTCACACTGCTGCAACCTGGAAGCAGTTTACTGTAACGGCCATTAGTGGGGAAAAGTGCCGGTCTTTGAAATGCTGATGTCACCATCACCTTAAAGTAAATATGTTCAGTACATTTGAGCTTGATGACGTTTGAAAAGTAACTGTAGGCTGATAATTTGACTGGAAAAAGCTAATGAGTTAGATTAGTCATGAATGGAAGACTCCCTTTTGAGGAAACGCATTACTTCGTAACGAGTTGTCGACATCACGAGCGTGGGATGGCTTGGTTTCAGCCACGCCCGAAAATCCTGCACATCTGAAAAAAACGATGCTTTATATCCTCCTGTTCAGTACCGTATTTTCCGCACTAAAAGGCGCACCTAAAAGCCTTCCATTTTCTTAAAAGCTCACAGCGTGCCTTAAAATCCGATGCGCCTTGTGTATGGTCATTACGGTAATATGTCAACCCCAAAATGGCTCCTTGTTAGAGACATGCTTCCATCGCAGAGTTCAAACTTAGGGCGATCGGTTTCGCAGTTGACCACGGAAATAGAGCAGCGGCAAGAGAGTTCAACGTTAACGAGTCAATGTTATAACTTGCTGTTGGTTAAGTGAACTGTTTCGCTGCTTTATTAAATAGGTTTTACTGACATCTGATCGTCGCTATATAAATCAGTGTAGTGTTCTGTTGGCATTTCCTTGAGCGTAGCTCCATCTAGTGGATGCATTCTACATTGCGTCCTATAATGTGGTGCGTCCAACATGAAAAAAAATTACAAAATAGGCCATTCGTTGAAGGTGCACCTCATAATCCAGTGCGCCTTTTAGTGTGGAAAATACGGTACAATTTTTTTTTTGCACAATGTTTTTCGCCACTTTACTCAATTTGGAAACAAGTCACTGAAACCACTTTACCGCGGAACTCATTCTTTTATCAAACACCTTTAAAATTTTCCACACATGGCCAGCTAACTGGCTAACAAGAATGTCAGTATTTTTGTATCACATTGATAGCTTCCACAAAGTACAAGCGCGACATGATAGTGGTGGATAAAGTCAGCTAAGTCCCCAGCAAAAACCCGGGGTGTCAAATGCACTGCCCGCCACTGCTTATCAGACAGATGCTACACACCAGCATTGACATGTCATAAGTCATGCCAGTAATTTGCTGAATCACACGCCTCATTGTGGCCCGGTTGAGACGCACCCGAGGTACCGATCAGCATGGCAACATGCTCTGTCCCATTTAATTAGCTATCATTACTTCCTCATTGCCACTTTAAGGGGCGGTGGGGGTGCGAGGGGGGGGGGCAACTCAGATGCTCTCCTCATACACACCTCCTCCGTTTGGATCCATGTTCTGTATAAACACATTGTGATGCTTACTCATCTTGCGTTTTGTGTTTGCACATTTGGCAGAGGTTATTTGTCAAGATTTCCTAATCCGGGGAGAATTCTATTTTAGCAGCGACCATGTGCAGCAATTGGATAGTTGATAGTTTAATTTTTCCCCAAAGGGAAAACTGATTGTGTCCAGGTTCGATTCAGGCGGGACCCAAATTGGGTCAGACAGCAACAAACAAGGCTGTTTTGGCTCCTCCGAAAGCTCCATTATTCCCGCTTTTCGATGGAAGGATGTTTTATATCTGAAGTTACAGCAGTGATTTTCAACGTGGGGTGTCTTAATGGTGCACCGGCTCCCCCTCTAGTGGTAAAAAAAAAATTGAATTGGAAAATCAGTCAGTGCATCGAACCGAACCTAACCAAAGCGTTCCACTTTAAAATATATCGAGATCAAATCGTCTTTTATCAGAGAGATATATCTTGGAAAGAACTGTTCCATTTTATAGTACTGCCAAATTCGTTCTTATCGTAAAATGACAACAAGAAAGTTGTTGCATCAGATCAAATCATTGAATCGTCCCTGAATCGTATTGCCCCCATATATTGAGATACATATCGAATTGTCTCCTATTGAAAGAGTTGCACACCCCAATCTACCTAAATACAGATCTGTTATATTTAACTTTTTACTTCAGTGAGAACCGTTTTTTGACTTGTATTCATGTTTTTCATTCGACTTGATCTGCAATGCCTTTTGATCGAATCATTGAGTCATTTTGATTGATGTATTTTATTTAAGAAAACACATTCCAGCTGCCTATTTCTATAAATCAGCCTTACCGCCCTACAATAAAATACTGTGTCCAATCTCTTAGTGAACACGACGAGAACAGATTTACACACTTCTTTGTAATTGACATTGTGGCCTAAACAACAACAACAACAACAGCTGCTTTTGCCGAGTCAAATTTAGAAACTTGCAACCCGTCAGACTGAATGATCGCATGACGATTAAAGCCCTGAAGGTCAGGCTAACGTGAGCGAACAGAGACAATGACAAATGTGCTGCGGGACTTCATCATTAAACAACCCGATTTGCGCCGCTGCCAGTGTGAAAAATCTGTCGGGAAGATTACCTTATAGGAGCGGGAACACTGAGCTTGTATCATCTCTTTGACATTATATAGAATTATCATCTGAGGGGATTCAGGAGTCAATAAAAGCACACATGCATAATGATCCTTACTAATTGCTCGTCATAAAGATGGATGACACATGCACAGATGTGCTACCCCGGCAGCCCATGCAAACCACCACAGGCTGTTTCGCTGTTTGGCAACACAGTGGCATCATCGCACTCCTCAACAGCCATATGCTGCCAGATATTGTGTGCACTTAAATTCGCTTATGTCGCCATGAAACCAATCCGGCATCATGACAATGGACAGCAGTTGTTTTGGACAGGGCCGCAAAAAGTGACGTTGCCTCCATTTGGACGTGCAATATTCTCTTCCGCATTTGCATTTAAATGAGTCATTTTTAAACCAAGGGGCTCTTTTCCCCACTTCTGTGTCCTAAGTGGAATTGTGACCAAATCCGGTGAACTAAAATGATAAAGAAGAAATAAATAGCACGGGCATCCATCCATCTTTTCTTGACCTCATTCAGGTCAGGGGTGAGCTGGCGTCTATCCAAGCTGACTTTGAGTGAGAGGTGGGGTGCACATTGGATTGGTCGACAGTCAGTCAGTCAGTTGGGTCCAAATACACAAACCGAGGCGATCAAAGAAGTAGCCGCAGAAGCAGAGGGAGTATTTGGTGTCTTTCCAGCTTCCTCCGAAAGCGGAGACTTAAATCCTTTGACTGGATCGCTCGGTTGCCTCTTAATCCCCAAACAAGGAGGATGATGCCGATCAGTTACCGGTGCGCTGAGATGTTTGGAGCGACTGAAAATAGAATCGAAACGTATTTCTTATATTTTATTTTGTTGGCAATTCTGCAAACATTCCTGATTAAATCCTGTATCCCGATGTCTTGCGAGCGAGCAGAAAATGATTTTGTATGGATTTGCTACACAGGCGCCCTCAGTAACGGTGCTGCCGGCTAATTGAGTTTCCTCGCAGGAGGGCATTTGTCTTGATTCTAAAAGTCCAGTCGGAACACGGGCAGCGTGTGTGTGTGTGTGTGTGTGTGTGTGTGTGTGTGTGTGTAATGTATTGAGTAAATGGCCCCAGGTGGCCTACAGTCCAGCCAGGTAGCCGTGTGCACATCCAAAGCTATTCTTAGGCTGGGAGCGGGATGAAATCACAAAGGGAGATTGAAGGGAATGGATATCCACATGCTGGATTTCAATTCTGCCCAGTGGATATGCTCCACTTTGTCTCAGTTCCCAAATTCATTCCCTTCAATCCTCCCCTTGTCTCCTTTCCTCCCTGTCTTCTCATTTCCTTCCCTTGTTTCCTCTCATCACCTTCTCAGATTTCAGGAAAAACCCTCCTTAATTGCGCCGCTTCCTTTTTCTCCTTGTTTTCTCTCATCTCCTCATTTTCTTTCCTTAGCTGCTTTCATTTCCTCACCTTTCCCTGAGTATGCTCCAAATCAGGGGTGGCCTTCCTCCAACACACCACACCAACTTTTTTTTTTGTTTGTTTTTTGTTTTTTTCACTAGGAGCACATGCTCACTTTATTATTGATAAATGGGCCAAAGTGTGGAGAAGTTTGTCAGCCCCCCCCCCCAAAAAAAAACATTCCGGTTGCACAGGCACGAGTAGACAAAAAATGTACTTGCACTTACTCTGCTTTAGTACTTTTTTCCTAATCCACGTCGAATTCAATCACTTCCACATAACTTCCCTTCTCATTTCATCTCTTCTCTTATGCTCAAATTCCTTCCTTCCGCTCGTCCTTCCTCTCTCCTCCCATCTTTTCTCCTTATTCCCCTTTTCGCGACCCACAGTTATCCCCTCATTTTCTTTTCCGCATTTCTTAAAATTCCTCATTTCTTATCTCATCTCCTCCACTCTCACCATCTTCTCTTATCACTGCACTTATCTTCTCTTAGACATTACCCATTTCTTTCCGTCTGCTTCTCATCTCCTTCTTGCCCCCCCAGCCCCCTCCCCCTGTCTTCTCTTCGTCTTCTTAAACCCCATTTTTTAAATTTTTATGTCATCATCTCTTTAAATCCTCTCCACTTCCTCCTCTCATGTCCTCTTTATCTCCTCCCCTCATCTCATCTTCTCTCCTCATTTTCGCTCATCCTCACAAGTATTACTCAACTCCAGCGTGCATCTCTGTGCTCTTGTGGACCGTTTGGCAAGATGATAAAACCCTCCAGGGTTAAAGATGTCCCACTGAGACGGTGTGTGTTTTTCTGCATGGCAACATAATGCACAAGCTTTATGACATACACATTTAAGAGCGTTCTTAATTTGTAATGCAGCTTTATTTCCTTGCCTGGAGGGTTGGAGCAATTTTGAATGTATTACAATCTGTTAGGATGAGCAAGATGTGTTGCAAGTCTCTTGTTTATGAATATGTACATATACGAATTCACTTAAGTGGTCCAAGCATTGTTTATCACGACAAATAATATATCTTTGTTCATCTATTGACACTGGGAAAAAAGTTTTTGTTGAACTGTATTTACTTAATTTGATCGTGTCAAGTGATTGCACAAAATAAAAATCATCTGGAGCCAGATGCATTTTTAAAGTCGTCATCTAGTCTACTAGCATCACGAAGCGGATTATGTTCAAGCAGTTGTCTAGTGTACTTGGAAAAAAAAAAAAGATCTGGATCCGGATCATTTTATTTCATGCAACCACTTGAATAAATAAAATGGTGAACACTCAACATTTTTCTCACAACGCGCTACCAAACGAAAACTGTCACAAACAGTGGATATGCTGTCATCAAAGTGAAAGAATATTTTGCTGTCGCTATACATTGCTAGCATAAATAGATGAACACAGATACGACATTTGTATTAAATGAATATTTTGGAAAACAATCACACAATTGATGAACATCCTTTCACTTATGCATGCATTTTAATTAGCAAGGCATTTGATGAATGGGAGTTTGGAGAAGCAGTGAAAATGTTGAATTGCAGTCTGATTGCTTGTCTGTTCAGTTGGATGGCCCTTAAAAAGTGAAGATAAATCCTTGCCGCCGGTAACTTTAGCTCCAGCTGTTCAAGTTTGTTGGGGTCATGCTCTGCTTCACGACATGACCCTGGCTGCGGTGCCCACCCGCCCCAGCTGTCAATCCTGCTTTGTCTCAAAACGTCTTAAAAAAAAGCTTGCCACAGCACGGACGCCGGACTAGAGGCTTCATTCTGGCTCTGCGTGTTTTTCTGTTTGTTTAAGTGTGTGCATGTGCGTGTACGTGTTTTCACTGCGTGAGACTGAACAGGCCTTGGATGAGACGGAAAAAAAAGAGGATGGAGAATCGATTGCAGAAATGAGAACAAGCAGGCGGATGATAAAACAATGCGTCTGGTTTGTGTACATCACACACACACACACACACACACACACACACACACACACACACACACACACACACACACACACACACTCCATTAGGTCATATCAGGACACAAAACCTTCAGACCATAACACGAGAGTAATGATTTTCATGATCAGGAATTCAGCCGACATCTTTGAGAATGAAATGGCTTCACCTCTTGCTGGAGTGAAGGGAACAAAGATGGAGCAATTGAGGTACAGTTACGTTAGCTAAGGCTAGCTGTTGCGTTTTGCTCAATCACTTATAGACAGCCCAATTAAATGTTTCCTATGATATCTGCTTGGAGAAAATGCTTATCTTCACAAACATTGACAAGGTCTATTATAGCTAGAGGACTATGATGAAAAATATAAGGAAGTTGAAGGGAGAATGAAACCAACTCAGCATTGCTCTCAATGCTGAGTTGGTTGTTATATTCTTTTCCAGATGCTGATGCGCTGGAAATGCTTTCAAGTTGTTTCGGTTCATGACTTAACAACCCTGATGTTGTTATTCAGACAAGTTGTTGCCATGGTGCCAGGCTGGTTCTAACCCCGCGTTTTCATCCTAGCGCAGGCCACATAAATACAGTGCAACAAAACATCCTTTCTGAAGGCTGTGCGTTTGTGTGTGTCACCTCCAGGTTCCCACGACTCCTTCAGCTTCTACATCGACGAGGCGTCTCCCGTGGGCCCCGAGCAGCCTGAGACGGTGCAGAACTTTGTGTCGGTTTTCGGCACGGTGGCCAAGAAACTGATGAGAAAGTGGTTAGCCACGCAGACCATGAACTTCAACAGCCAGCTGGAGGCTGGCGTCCGTTTCTTTGACCTACGCATCTCCACCAAGCCCCGAGACCCCGACAACGAGCTCTTCTTTGCGCACGGCCTCTTCAGTGCCACAGTCAGTCCACCTTTTAACCATATATCAGTCAATCTATGCAGTTATTGTAATGAAGAGCGTTTTCAGGGTCATGATAATGTAGTAAAGTAGACCCAGTTGCAGAAGGAGAGGCAAACCACGGCAACAGGAGTAATCTCTCAAACATGTTTGGGCTGAAAAACGCAAATCTAAAAGTACTGCAACAAAATAATAGAACAAATATATTATCACTCAAAAATTAAGATAAAAAGTAAAACAGATCTATTTATCATTCTATCTATCGAGCTAGCTAGCTTTTTAGCTGGCTCTTTAGCTAGCTACCTACCTAGCTAGCTCGCTACCTAGCTTACACTAGCTAGCTACGTACCTCGATCTATCGACCGAGCTATCTACCGCTCTTTCTCTCTCTCTCTTTCTCTGTCTCTGTCCATCCGTCCATCCGTCTGTCTATTTATATGTGTGTCTGTCTGTCCACCTATCTCCATATGTCTAGCTTTCAAGCTATTCACCTTAAACATTTTGATATCATCAGGTCGAGCATGAAATGACACCTCTGCCAAGGAGTTGGTTGTTAAGTGAGAATGATTATGCAAAATCAACCTCCATAACTACCTTGACATTTTATCCTATTTCCCAGTAATGAAAGCTTGACTCCTAATGAAGATGTTCAATTTGGTGCTGAGTCAAATTAAGACAAATGGTCATCCGTGCGCTGCCGTGTGACATTCTAATCTGTTTTATGACCAGTTGATATTCCTCAACAAGGAAATTTAACCTAATTTTTCAGTGAATAACGCCGAATATGGGGAATGTGGGCACACTGAGCAGATGTATATCTACGTATATACTTGCACAATTTGATGCTGAAAGCTAAAAGGTCATTTGGCCAAACAGTCTTTCAGCTCTGCGCAACAATATAGCTCTTTCGCAAAAGCTCATATCCCTCCCAAAATTGTTTACACATGCTTCAAACTAGATTCCTTTCTCATATAAGGAGTCAGTACCAGCAAAATTGCAAAGATGCTTCTCAATTGCTTTGCTTTTGCCCAAAATAATTCGGATGGTTCAGCACAACACCATGGATTACACGCAAAGGCTCATATATCTCCCAAAACAATTTACACATGTGTCAAAACTAAATTCCTTTCCAATATAAACAATCAGTCCCCTCCAAAATGCATCGGCCCTTTTGTGTTGTGTAAGCAGTGCCAAGATAAAACGCTGAGATGTTTTGTCACAATGGAGGAGGTCTAGCTAACGGAAGACAGTGAATATTGCCTACAGTGCTGTAAATAAAGTTTTACAACTACACCAACACTCTCACTGGTTGCTGTCATCACCCTCCCTTCTCTTGGCCACCATCCTCATCCTCCTGCCCAGAGATACGCTGCTCACACTTTGGCCAGAGATTTTGGTCCACATTGGAGCATACTTATTTTACTTATGATGACTTATTCCAATACGTGTTGCAGTTCCGTAGATTTTCAAGAATGGCCATTTAAATGCAACCCACCCCCCAAAAAAAACAGGGCACATTTTCAAGATTTTCTCAATGAATAATGCATGATTCGTCAAGCAACTGCAGGAGGCGGATTGCTCCGGTGTGTAATTTTCTGCTGATTCAAACTTATGATTAGCGGTCTGCCCTAGTTTTAAAAGAATCCCTTGTACGTGTGTTTTCTGTAGGTCAGAGAAGGATTGGAGCAGATCAGCAGCTTCCTGTCGTCGCACGCCAGAGAGGTGGTGTTTCTGGACTTCAACCACTTCTATGGCGTACAGAACCTGCACCACGAGAAGTTGGTCACCATGTTGAAGGACGTTTTTGGAGACAAGCTCTGCCCAGTTGTCTTTGCCCAGGAGGTATGTCTCTAATTACGATGACCTTTTTAAAGTCCCTGTCAAGTGAAAATAAATGTCTGTTGACATGGCACAAGGAAGAGTGTTGTTAATAACCCTGCTAAATTTGAATTATGGAAAAAAAATCATCAAGGAAAAAAAAAAAATCAAGCCCTTGTCTCCACTCTCAAACACTGTGGGCGTGTACACTGAATGCATGAAACCATGCCCTATGAAAAATGGATGCTACACCAGTAGCTTCGTCATAAAGATTCCAGTGGCTGGAATATATCCCAATGAGTTGTTGTGAGGCTTTCCATATCATGAAAAGAATTACTAGTCAACAGCTAGGTCGTGAGCGAACAGGCTCCCGGGGCTCCACTCACCTCTTCGCATGGGAATTTAAATAAGGACACAAGCTCTTCTGTAATTGTGACATCCAGGGAAGATGCGTTTTGGCGGTGGAGTATAGCTGTAATTTTATAAACGGGCCTAGTAATAATAACAAAGTAACTGTTGTCCAGTTGTCCAGATAGATTTGCTCAGGCAGAAAAAATACTTTCAATGGAATATTAAGGGCAAAATGGAAATCTTTTTTATAAAACATTATATACAGTACATATCATGAGAATTAAGGAAAGAAGGATGTAAAATTGAAAGGAAAAATTATCATTTAGATCAAAAAATACCTACCGCATGATTAGCACAACCAGTGAATGTGATCATTTTGGAGTGGTCTTTTTTTTTTCCTCCTCAGAGCTGTATACAGTATACACTTATATATTTTTAATATATAATATACGATAACAAGGCGGCGCGGTGGCCATCTGCTTACCATGTCCGCCTCACAGTGCAGACGTGCAGGATTCGATTCCGGCTCCGGCCTTCCTGTGTGGAGTTTGCATGTTCTCGCCGTGCGTGCGTGGGTTTTCTCCGGTTACTCCGGTTTCCTCCCATTTTCCAAAAATGTGCATGGCAGGTTAATGGAACACTCTAAATTGTCCCTGGGTGTGACTGTGAGTATGGATGGTTGTTCGTCTTTGTGTGCCCTGCGATTGGCTGGCAACCAGTTCAGGGTGTTCCCCACTTACTCCCCAAAGACAGCTGGGATAGGCTCCAGCATGCCCGTGACCGTTGTGAGGATAAGCGGATCAGAAAATGGATGGGTTGATTATATAATAACATATTTTAATGTGTACTGCATATCTACTGTCAGTATCTAGTATGATTTCAGATTAAAGACCTGATAAAGATCTATTTTTACATTCATAATTGTGTCCACATGTCCTCAGTTGAGTCTGCAGTATCTGTGGGAGAAGGAGTACCAGGTGCTTGTCTTCTACCATCACCCTATGGCCCTGGAGGTGCCCTTTCTTTGGCCCGGCCAGATGATGCCCGCCCCATGGGCCAACACTACCGACCCAGAGAAGCTGGTTCAGTTCCTCCAGGCCTCTGTCACTGACCGCAGGTTAGCAAGCAGACTCTCAGTGTGTGTGTGTGTGTGTGTGTGTGTGTGTGTGTGTGTGTGTGTGTGTGTGTGTGTGTGTGTGTGTGCGCGCGCGCGCGCGTGCAAGCATTCATCATTTGGTCAGTATGATCACATCACTGTGATTTGCTGCAAAATGGACCACAACACTCCTCTTGTGTTGCGAGCCAAACTGAACACTTCAACATTTTGTAAAAATACAAATGTATTAATATTTGAAAATGAAAAAAAAAAGAAAAAAAATTATGATGGACTGCTTGTTTCCTGCAGGAGGAAGGGCACTTTCTTTGTTTCCCAGGTGGTCCTCACACCGAAGGCCAGCACGGTGATGAAGGGTGTGGCTAGCGGACTCCGAGAGACAATCACAGAAAGGTGAGAGCGCGTGGACGCTGTTCTCGAGAGAAATTCATAGAATTCTGTTGAAAACTAAATAGCCTGGTGACATTTAGCTTCACAATACCTGCCAGCAGTCGTGCAGCCTTGCCCTTGGATTGTACGGGCAATTTTATTAAAACATAACGATAAAACATCAACACTGCCCTTGTGGAGGACACATACAATATTGATGTGGCTCGGATAAAAGTGTGGATTTTCATTTTATTTGTTTGTATCTTTCGTTTCTTTCTCGGTGTATAATGCATGAACGGCTCAAGAGCATCTTGAAGGTATCAGTTAAGATCGCTCAGCCTTGGTGGAGGTTCTGATTTCAGCTGTGATCGGTGAAGTGAAAACGTTTGTTGTTTTTTTATTTTATATTCCACGTGGTTCACACTAAATTGTGTAAAAAGGCTAGCAAAAACTCATTACATTTGGTAAAAATACAGGAAAAAGCGCAGACAGGAATTCCCTCCCCCGACACACACAAAACATCAACTTCAATATTGCTGAGACCCTACAAATGTTATTAATATACAAGTAGAAATCTTGACTGGCCCAACAACTAATCCCTGGGGAACACCACAAACAAGATAGAGACATCCCCACACTGAAGAAACTTTTGCTCAGACCAACAAAGTAAACTTCACCGTCTCATCTTTGGTCATGTGCCTTGCAGGGCTTTGCCGGGAATGATGCAGTGGATCCGGTCGCAGAGGCCCGGTGAGAGTGGCATCAACATCATCACCGCCGACTTTGTTGAGCTGGGCGAGTTCATCAGTGCCGTCATCACCCTCAACTACCACATGGATGACGAAGACGACGACGACGCCACCTGAGAGCCCTCGGAGGTGTCGCCATCGAGCGCGGTCGCACCCCTGCTGCCTGGCGGTTGGTGGGTGGGGGGGGGGGCCGTCTTGGTCTGTGCTCTGCCTCTTTTCTCCTTGCCGTTTGTTTCAGAGGAGATGTGCTGCTCCTTCCACTTTATTTAGGGCTAGAGTGAAACGGTGAATGACACAGAGATGAGGTTGAGAGAAGAAACGTTGCGATGGTGAGTTCGATGGTGTGACAGTGCTAATTTGGGGCCAAAAATGTCCCCTCTTTTAAGTGAGATACGCCACCCGAGCTGTAAAAATGACCGCTTTCACTATACACATGTAAAGCATTTTATATTCGGTATGTTCCTCATCAGGCATTTCTGGTTCTCTTCGATGATTCTGATCACTAAGGTCATGTGTAAAATAGTTTAAATGTACACCTGCCTCAGAGGGAAGCCAGTCTAATGAAGAGTCATGTTAGAGCATTCAACATTTTTTTTTAACGAATAATAATTTCAATATTTTTAAAATCTATTTATTTCTTTTCACAAGATTATTTTTCAAAAAAATATTTACCTTAGATATTTATTTGTGATTCAATTATTTGCTGTGGGTTTTTTTTGGGGGGGTGAGTTTGGGAGTGGAATTTTACTTATGCTGTAATTTTGGGAGTATGTTGGAAAAAAATGAAATAACTAAAACCTGTTTTTCATTTTAATGGTTATATTTAATTATGGTATTTATTTATTGATTTCAACCCACCACGCCACATTGAATGTATGTGGCAAGATAGTTCAGATATGACCCCCGCAAAAAACAATGAAATAAAGGTTTGATTTTTTTTTTTTTTTTTTTTACATCACTTCTTTAGATTTAATGTATGCATTTCTTTATGAATCTGATTTGTTTGTATTTATCCGAAAGGCAACCTCCTACTATTGAGAGAAAGTGAGAGGTGTAACAATAAGATCGCACAGCTTGTAAAACATTTCTTATACATTTTTAATTCTCAAGTTTTTTTTTTTTAATAATTGTGGATTAATTTTAAACACATTTTACACCATTGAGAGGATGTAGGAAAATCACTAAATTAGAAAATAAGTTTTCACTTTTTTACAAATGCTTTATTTCTTTCTTAATGTATAAATTTATAAATTTTTTAAATAATTTTCTTGAAAATATATATTTATTGGGAGCATCTGGTTAAAAAAAACACAATATCAGAGGGATTAGATTACATAATTCTTATACTGTAAATTTTTTTTTCTTGATCAAATTTAACCTGTCTCCTTCCACAAATAACCACCAAAATATTCAATGAAGCAAAATTTAATGTCGCACTTTTGCACATTAAAAAAACTCTCCCATTTATTTTGATTAAATCTCACCTTAAACTGTTGCGAGTTTGCGGGGGCTCGGGGAAGCAAATAAGATTTTACTCCTTTTGAAATCAACAAGGTGTTGCTGTTTGTGAATAGTCCGCTGGCTCCGAATGAATCGGTGGTGGGTGCTGAGTCGTGATGTATAAAAATATTGCTCACAAGAGTCTATCCAGTGTTTGCTTTTGCTTTCAATCTCCTCCTTGTGCGTCTGTATCGACTGCGGTGCTGCAGCGTCTATGAGTCACCGTCATGCTTTTTGTAGTCTTTCGACTGACACACAATTTTAGAGGTGAACTTTATTTCAAGTCAGCTGTTTCTTTATTTATTTTTTTTTGCAGCACTGTTTCAACATGTTTAGATAGCGGTAGCATATTGGTGTCTTTATCTGGTGTTATTGCTTGTTTCCAGAGCTCTGAATTTCACAAGATCTGGAATTGTTGTGTATTATAAAACACCTTGTGTGGTAGAGGAGTAAATAAAGGTTGACAAATGCATTGACAGAAATACGAGGTGCTGTATATGCCAAAAAGCTCTCACCTGCACCCCAAAAAAAGATTTGTTGTCGCTGTGAGTGAGTTTTTTTCAAAATCAGACCACCAAACGTGGACTATAGCAAGCGAACGAGAAAGTCTCCAAGAAGTTTGATGTTTCTATGACAACTACCGTACTATCGGCACTATAAGGCAATTCGGAATATAAGGCGCACTTTCAATGAGTGGCCTATTTTAAAACTGTTTTCATATATAGGGCGCACCGCATTATAAGATGCATAGAATAGAAGCCGCAATAGTGGCTGCGGTTGCGTTAAGCATCCACTAGATGGAGCTACGCTAAAGGGAACACAATACAATACGATGCTGCTTTGTTTATATAGCGCTTTCACAACCGTTGCAGCTGGAGCAAAGTGCTTGACAGAACATTTAAAATACTACGTCCAAGAAATCAGATCATTGATCCATATATAAGGTGCATCAGATTATAAGGCGCATTGTCAATTTTTGAGAAAATGGAATGCTTTTAGGTGCGCCTTATAGTGCGGAAAATACGGTAAATATTTTTTGGGGCTATACAGCACCTCAAAAACAAGTGTGTGATTTCATCTCAAACAAAAGCAAAAGCAGCACTTACTGCAGAGAATGCATCCTTGTGAGGATTGTTGTCTCGTCTCCCCCGACCATCCAACCATTACACAAAAACTATTCGGGATCGGTGAATGTGTCTTAAAAGTCAACTGTGCCGTGTGCTTGCGATGAAAAGTCTGCGGTTTGTACGCTTCTGTGTCTCAAATCGCTCTGCTTTTTATGTTTTATATTGTGTTTGTAAATACTGTAATTGCAAGAGTACATTGCCAAGAAACTGTAAAGCAGTGAGTGACTTTACCACTTTACTATGGTTCTTCTTTTTTTTTTTAATACCAAATTTGGTAGTGATGTGCATGAGCGGTAGACTTGAATATTCAAGTCCCGTTTGGATTTTATTACTTCTATTCTTACAGTTGCATGACTTCAAGACATGTTTTGTTTTTTTTTTTCATTCCTGATTGCAGTCAAAAGGCTGAAACTTCACAAATGACCAGAGACTTGATAAGGGCGTACAAATTGTGTTGTGAGGTCATTATTGTCTTCCCTGGTCAAAGTTGTTGTTATTGCTTTTATGTTCTGATGTATTAAAAAAAAAAAATCACTCAATGAATAATACAATAAAAGAGTCCTTTGCTGTTGTAAAACTGAAACCATCGTTCCAAGAGTGGCAGATAAATAAAAGCTATGAATACCAAACGCCATCCCTCCCTGACCTGCGTCGCTTTTTGTAAAGCAAAACTGAGAGCATTTTAATTTTTTTTTTCTCCATATCCGTTAGAAACAGGATGGAATTTCTGAAGCATGTGCACAAGACCCCCTCCCCTTCCCCCAAAAATTATAAATCTGAAACAAAAAAAAAAAATCATCCTAGTTACCACGGTGATGAGAATGGAAGTGGGCGAGTGGTGGCACATGGGGTGACCTTGCGCAGACTGTGTTGTATAATTCATGTAATTCACCATGTCATTCACCATCTAATGCGCCGTGCGAGCTGACAACAGAGCGGACTTGAAATTGGACCGCTTGTTTGTTTACACACGTGTTTGGCATACGTGGTGACAAACAATATTGACCAAAAAAAAACAAAAACGAGTCTCTTTTGGAGATGGGAGTAATTGGAGTTCGAGTGACAAAGAGCAGCCCTTTCCCAACCCCAAACATTACAGAAGAAATGTTTTCAATGAAATATAAGGAGAATCATAATGACATGTGAGGCTGGGGGCGGGGAGTATTAATTTGACAAAAAAAAAGGGAAACAAAAAAAGTTATTATAAGCACTGTTGAATGAAATTTGTCATTTTAGACAAAAATTCACAATATTAAAATGGTATTTTCCAAGGTAAAGTCAAATTAGGTGAAAAAGAATTCAATTTTTTTGAACAGTAAATAGTAGCCTGGCACATTGACAGCATGAAATAGTCATTAAACTTGTAATCTTATGAGAAAAAAAAATCACAATGTCTAAGATTAAATGTGCAAAGGTCAAAGTTCAATCATATGAGGATCATTTTAATAGTGCTACTATGATAAAAGTCATTTTAATGAGAATAAGATGGTAGTATGAGACTATGCATAAATATGTATGTGGAAATATGAGAATAAAGGGCAAAGTTTAAACAATTTTTTATTTTATTTTACAATTTAATCATTTTATGTCTGTAAGCCAACTCTGTTGATCATATTACAACTTTATTCTTATAACACGATGACTATTTTCTGTGACGTAACATTTAGATTATTTTCTAGTTCCTCGTGATGTCATGACTGCGATTAATTTTTATTCCGAACCTACAACTTCATTTCGCAACTTATTTGACTTGTCTTATCACCGCTGCCGGTATTTCGGTGACACAGGATTTTACTAAACCCGGATGAATTTGAGTGAATCTCTTTGCCATGACCCTGTGACACTTTTAAAGTAATCCAGCCTATGATCCGCACCCCTACTGGATGTGTCTCAACGAATTTCAATGTGTCGCTTTGTTCTGTTTAAGTTTGGAGTTTGAGGTGGGAGAAGAGCTGCAGAGCCTCTTGTTCATCTCATTAAAAGGATCAACAACAGCTAACAGGACACCAAGGTGCACTTTTACCATAAAACTTCTACCAGTGCCATTCAGGGTGGATATTTACTGACTAAATGGACCAAGATGAAGTCATTACAACACACCCGTGGGACATTAGGGGCAATTGTTCGCATTCTTACGTTCACTCGGGCCTGATAAGAGCATATGCTGAAATTGGGCCGACGTAATGGCGTTGTCACGTTCATTTGTTGGCCTCGTTTGAAAACATTTTCACTTGTTCTGCCTGATCACTTCACAAGGGATCGAGACCGAGCCCCGTCGTGAATAGCAAGAAAACTCGTCATTGATGCACACCCTAACATTTGTTTTAATTGCCTATTTTAATACCCAAACTGTGATCTCAAACCGCTTTCTTGTCATCTTCATCTCGATTTACAGCATTACCCTTGAAAAGAAATGGCTCGTAAATTTTATTTTGAAAAAAGAAATGTACTGCAAGCGCCCGCACGGCGACGGAGGATATCTTGTATTTCTTCCATGAATACGTTAAACGTAGTTCCTCCTCAGCATCGCAACCAAGGTGCATCACTTCAACATACGTCCATGGCACCAATGTGCTACTTTCCTATTGGACAGGATTTTGGTGCCATCAGCCATTGAGCAGTTTTGCTCACATTGTGTGTGATGTGCATCGATTCAACTCAACACAGAATGCCACACACATAAAAATTCTGTTCTAGAAATGTGAATGAACATGATGGATATGTTGCGCCAACATTTTCCAAATGTTTGAAAAGGGACGAGAGGGAAGATCGGAAAATTTTTTAAAAGTTTCTAAGTTGAATTGAATACTAAAAATGATTTTCAAATCATTGTCTCCTTCCTTTTGTTAACGTTTTAGACAATGTACACTTTGTATATGCACGAAGCACTTTGTCATTTGGTTTGTGGTTTGCGAAACAGGGAATTAGCTCGACCTTTGACGAGTGTCACAAGCTGACTCATCACTTTCACGGAATCGACAAGAGCGGAAGCTCTTTCTTTTCGTGGAGAGAGGAGACCTGCTCGCCGGCACGCCCCGGCCGGCGTTTTCGGGAACAGATGGCGGTCAAAGGGGGGATATGTGACCATAGTGTGGCGGCACTAATGGAGGCCAAGGTCTGCCGACCTGTTGTCTGAGCCAACTCTTATTGTCGCCTGAGGCGTAGTACAACAGTGGAGACGCTGAGACATGACTGGTGATTTTATAGATACCGAATATGACCCACTCAGACTTTGCCTGACTACTGTTGTACGTATCAAACTTTAGGTACATCCATTACAAGATCATTATTGTGGTTGTAGTTTACAGTTCAGCCGCTCAATAATAATGATGATAATGATAACTAATGCATTTATATGATCACTTCACTCTGGCGTTAAAGCATTATTGCTAATATTGGACCTCTTTAGGCCTTACCCAATAAAATGACACATGAGTGCTCAAAATAATATCGTCCTTGGGTCATATTTTACATTAATCTTGCAGTAGTATGTTTATTATGGCAGATATTAGTCACGTCTTTTGGTTCTTCCTTTATGGTGATGCATAACAAGGCCACGGTGCACAAAACAAGCAATCAAGTGTGTGTACAACTGTGTGTCCATAATACAATCGTGGCTGATGAATTCAGCATGGCTCAAAATTGACTCTCCAGCAATACGCTTATGGAGGAAAATCTTCAATTGTCCCACACGCATACACACTGACAGCGTTTTGCTTGCGTTTATGTGTCCTAATTGGCTCTATTATATCCCGCTGCTATTGCCCGATAACATTATTATTTCTTTCCCCACATTGCTGCCATATTAAAAATACACATTCTTTGCCATTTGTCGCCTTCTCCCTATCGATTACTTAGAAATGCTAGATCTGTCGGTAGCCCAGATTTTGTTTATGAACGGGAAAAGAATCATCTGTCACTGTCCCATTCTAATTTGTCCTGTGCCTCAGTGGCACTCGCTCCCGAGCTGACAGCATGTAATGGCGCAGCAATTCCACTGGACCGCTCAATGATTTTGACAGGAGCGCTGCAAATGAAAATGTGGAGGGAAGGAAATAATACAACAATGAGAAAAGTGTCAAATTTGTCTGTAAGTGAAGAGCAGGGAATGAATTTTTTTCCCCTGATTTTGAAAGGAAATCACCTTTCGCATTTATTGAAATTGATTTCCAGCATGGAAATAGCATGACTGACTCACAGTCATTGGATCCAAGTGGTCCGCCCATAGTGACGGATGTGCTAGCAGCCAATCTCCCATCAGATTAAACAATCTGTCACAAAAAGCAAACAAAAAACAGAACAAAACAAAACAAACAAACAAACAAACAAACAAAAAACAAAAAGCACAGTTCAATAGCACCGCCATCATTTATTGGTAAAATGACTACAATTGAACAGAGGAGACATTTGGGAAGTGCCTGTACTGTAGCTGCTAGCTTGATCTCATCGCGCTGTAGCTCACAATCTATGGCGAAAAGAATTCAAAGCTCCCGGACAGGTTCTGACCTTTTTAGCTGAAAATAATGTGTATGTTTCCAATTTGCGCTCCCTGTTGATTTTCTAACTGTCTGTGGAATTATTATTCTTCCTTTCCTTCGGAATAGGACGGAACAAAGAAAACTTTCCTTACCAAGAATAATTTCCATTTCAATGGTAAAAAAACATTTGTAGCTCAAAGAAGAAAATTAAGACTTGCAGGGAAGAAATACAAATAAAGGTAAGACTATAAAACATGTTAAATTTTACCTCAAGTTAGATCAGATATTCAAACAAACACTCAAACTTCAAATTAAAAACTGGAGTTAGAATGTTAATAAGTATTTGTTGATCTTTATTTAACGATTTGTGTTGAAAATATGTGAGCATTATAAGAAAATAGTTTCAAATATGAGCCTAATATTTAGATCTACGCCTACATTAAAATTATTTCTTTTTTTGTGTGCAAAATTCTGATTTGAAAACTTACTCATTAAATGAAAGTGAAATTGTAAAAAGCTTCCTCGAAACTGCTGGAATTAATGTCACGGCAAAATGTGTGCGTAAAAGCAATGTGAATTGATTCTAAATCTCTATTGCCCTCCTGTGTTTGCGACAGTAAATCACATCTCAGGATCCTTGTCAAAATTATTGGGATGACAGTAACGCGTTAGTGACTGGGAGATTTTGATGTCTTTCAGCTTAAAGTCAAATACCTGCGGGGAATGAATCAGTCATAAAATGAAAGCGTATGGCATACTTTGTAAATTACTATCTGCGCATCATTGTCTAATTCACGGGTCACCAACCTTTTTTGAAAATGAGAGCTACTTATTGGGTGATGATTACTGTGAAGAATTGATACAAACTTTTAGAAACAATTTGCTTAACTTAAATTATGTTTCTATAAATAATAAATGAGGCTCAGTTATATGAAGACAATCGTGTTCATAATTTTTCGCAATAATTAGGGAAAAGAAAATATCATATTCAATCAACCAATTTCTAGAAACGACCATTGCGCTCACACTCACACTTAGAGACAAATTAGACTCTAAATGGAACACTCTAAAATTTAGAGTCTAAATTTTAGTGTCCCATGAACCTGCCACACATGCGGTGCCTCCACAACAACCCCAAGTTAGCAGCAGACAACGCCTGCAAGTGGTCGCAGCGCAACATTACATCAGTAGTCAGACAACATATTACTTAAGAATAAAGCAGTTAGACTTAAATCATGGTTTATCTCTACCCAGTGCAGGTTCCAGGGTAAAATAATGAACTCGACAGATGATTTCCATAACAAAAGTTTTATTAACAATTTAAAATGATTTACATCATCCTCGTGTACTTCCAAGGGGCCCAAAGCAACAACAACAACCACAACCGTCCACAAGGTGGCGCCATGCTGAGCAACAACCAAGGACTTACTCAGAGGGCAGGAAGTGTATATACAATTCGTAAAATACATTGCGTGTGTGTGCGTGTGTGTGTGTGTGTGTGTGTGTGTGTGTGTGTGTGTGTGTGTGTGTGCGCGCGCGCGCGTAAATAAAGTTCTATCTCTCTCCGTTGTATCAAACAGTATTGCACTTTGAAGTTGTCAAGTTAAGATATCGATTTATCTTTCATGGAAGACTAAATCAAGAACAGGGAGAAGGACAAAACAAGAAACTACTGAAGGGGACTACACATTGAAATGACTTCCTTGCCATCCTGAAACATTCAGGAGGCATTTATTCAACATGTTGTTTCGGACACAACAAACATTTACATCCCTTCTGTTATATTGCGAGTCAATTTGATCTGTTTGAAAATGAAATAATATACACTGGCAACTTGAAGTTATATATAAAAAAAAAGCATAGTAAAACAACAAAAAAAAAAACAATGTCAAGAAATACATTGGTTTTAGAAAGTGTAATGAAACTGTTCGTCTGACACACGCACACACAGACTCACACAACCACACTGTGGTACATTTGTGTGACAGTGTGCCTTTAAGAGGGCGTGGCAAAGTGAGTTACGGATGTGAGTTTCTACTCCTTGTTCCTTGAGAGTGTTTTCATTTTGTATTTGTATGATTGACTGAAAGTGTGCTGGCCATTGATGGTCTTTCTTCTTTTGCCTCCGCTAGGAGATGTAAGGTAATAAAAATTGTAGCTTGTGACGTAAAGCGAAACATCGGCCAAATGACAGCTCATTGCACGAAGAACTCTTAAATTGGCGCACTTGTAAGTCCGATGTATTTAAAAAATGTGAACAAAAAGGGGATACAGCTGTGTTTTTGCTCGTTTCTTCTTTTAATTAAATGTGTTTGCATTTTTAAAATGGATTCTTTCAATGCCTAAACAACACGCAGTGGCTCACTTTGACCATAAAAAAAAAAAAAAAAAGACATAACAGGAGGGTTAAAGAAAATAGTGTTTCTTGTGCGCATGAACACGTTTTCTATTTTACAATTAACAGTGGACAACTGGCTCCATTGACCCAAAACCATGGGAATGTGTTGCCATTTACTTTCTGTAGAATAAAAATCCAACAATGGGCAGGCAGCCTTGCTATTTTTTTTGGTGTGTGTTGAAAAATGGCAGTAGTCGAGTAGTGGAGGACGGAACAGGGCAATGTTGTCTCTTGATGTTGTTTTTGTTGATACCTCAGCTGGTTACCAAACAACAGAGGCCAAAGAAGCGCCTCTTCCTCTGTCGGACCAGCGGGTAGGGAGACAGGTTCAGCAAACTGCTGTCGTCTAGAAGTCACAAGAACACAGAGAAAGTACTTGACACAAGTTTTTATTTCACAATGTTTCTGAAATTGTATCTACATATACAGTAAATCCCCCTTTACTGCGGGTGTTACATTCCAGATCATCCTTGTATGAATGAAATCTGTGATATAATTAAATAATCACCCGGCATGTATCATTTATAGCACTTAATTTTTGAGGTCTTAAACGCATTTCAAAATAATTAAAAAACATTTAAAAACACTTTAATGTGATGAGACAGAGCATAAGTCACGGATAGGACAAAAACTGTACAAGAAGTATCAGTACCAAACACTCTCTGTGTTTACCGTAAACAAATCGCATTTTTTTTCTCAACTAACAAACTTATCATCTCACAATATAGATCAATAATCATGATAAAAAATTTACATTTTAAAATGAAATTAGAGCCATTGCTTTTTGTAGGCATAAAATGCAGGATGGGAGAGGATTGCGACAATCTCTTTCTAATTTCTTCAGTAAAAGGAAAACTGTAAGAATTACCGCAATACTGTGTTGAAAATTTTCAATGACGTCACTGACATACAGTTGACTATGATAAATCTTTACTCATCCAACCCCGAGTCCGAACACACCTTGGTTCTTCAGTGGTAAAGGCATCGTCTCCCTGAGTTTACTGAGAAGGTTCTTCATTTCCCTCATGTCCCTGCAACAAATAAAACAAAAAAAGAAATCAATATTGTCCTTTTCATGTTGCATATTAAATGTGTCTATTTTGGCATCACATTTGCTCAAAAATTGCAAATTTTCTTCAAATTTTTTGTGACAGACATTACTTTGTGCAAACATTATTCTTTAACAAATGCCTTGACATAATTTGAAAAATAATTGTCTTCATATAATTTGCACAATAGTTGCACTGTATACTGAAATATTTGGTTGTCTCTATTTTACATTGTTTCTGATATAAAAGTCAGTTTGTTGATAATATATAAATAGGGGGCAATCTCAAGTTAATAGTTCTATGAGGTGTTTGGATGGATATTAACTACTCAATTGAACGATAAAGCATCTCCGCCGTGGACTTACTTTTCAATGTTTGCTATATCCGTGGCCACCAGCCATGTGAGTGGAGGGCCCTCGCTGGGCGACGAGGAGGTGTCCTCAAGGATGGGGACGTCTGAGTTCTCCTCGGCCTTCCTGTCCACTGATGGCAGGCTACAGGGATCTTTGCCTGGCACCACAGAGTCAGAGAAAGACGCTATATGTGTTCCATGTTTCAAAGAAAAAGTCCTTTGCTAAAAAAAAAAAAAAAAAAATGTATCGCTGCTTCAGGATCACCAAAATGGCTTACAAGTGTGTGTGTGTGAGTGTGAGTGTGTTTACCTTTCCTGTGGAGCTGCAGGGAGCCCAGCAAGCAGAAGGACTTGAGCATCTCGGTGATGTACATCTCCAAACAGCACTGCAGCTGGATGAAAAGCCTGCAGATCTCTGGGTGAATCTCGCCATCCTCTGGCCTGTAGCCCATAGCAAAGGGATGAGTGATCCCGTAAAAGGGGGACTGCGTTACTCACATAAAATGACATAAATTTGACAAATTAACAGCAGAGTTTCTCCTTCATTTTTGTTTGATGATATTGTCCATCTTCGAGTTCGCTTAGCTTGCCGAGGACCAGTAATAAAAAGCGCTGACATAACCCCCCCACCCACCCCCATCCCATCAACTGTGATTTATTTACTCGCTGCTCCCCCATCACCGGCTTTTATGACACTCTGCAACGGCTTCGTACATACTTCAATTTACAGCAGATGATAACTGAGTGAGCGCTAAATCACCCAAAGTGAAAGCGTTGAGTGCCATTTGCCGCACACAAATCCGTGTACTCATCACCATTGAATAGGATTTTTTTTTTCAGTTACACTCCTCAAACAAATACCTCCCTCTAATAATTAACGATAAATATGATAACTCTCACCCTGCTATCAAGGTGAGACTGTGGTGTGCCGCCCTGGCCATCTCGCAGCCTTTGGTTCGAGTCTTCTGCATGTCGCCCCGCAAATTGGGCCAGTCGACGGTGATCTCGCCGATGGAGATGACCAGCTCTCGGTACAGCGCCACCAGCGTGTTGAACTCTTGCACGATCTGCGTTGCAATCACATAACAGTGAACAAGAGCTGTATTAAAAAGTCTGCATTTAAGAAAAGAAAAGAATGCTCAGCGTTCAACTCTAAATGCATGGTTGTAGACCATATCAGTGCATTCCATCTGGCATTTTAATTTGTTTTCAGGGTTACAAAGATAAAGTGGATGAGAGCACTCAGAAGCGCCACTCTGTGGGGAAATAGGTACATTACAATTGGACTACAGTACACGTACAACTCCAATCCACTGTGAATTGTTTTGTGTTTGCGAATGAATTAAAAGGGAAAAAAATACATTGCAGCCAAGTAAAATAAAACAATGTTATTTCTTGCTCCAACTTTTGTCTGGATCTTTAGCAGACTATGCAGGTGCAACTAGATAGACTTGGAACGACATGTCCTATCTCATTGTTCTGAATAGCGCATTACATTTTCAAAAGAATAAATCAACAGAATTTCAAATAAAATAAAACGAATGGTAAAATACAATCACCAATGAAATAAACTGAACAAACAATGCACATCTTTAAAATACATGCAAATATACAAAGCATCAAAATAAAAAAAAAAACAAAATAATAAATGGAAAAAAATCTAATCATAAATAAATTATTATTATAATTATTATTAAACAACTCAATTCATTGATTAAAAATCATAAACTACAATAAAAATGTTAACGTACATGCAAAACGACCATGCACGTTGAAAAATAGTAGCCTTCTTATTAAACATACCACAGCATGATTTAGATTTTTTTTTTTAGGTCGCAATCAAATAGCTCAGAGGTTGCTTTAATGACTGTGTTGATAATCGATCGTGGTACGTTGACTTTGCACCACTTCAGACGCCCCCCCCCCACACTCCCGAAAAAGACAACTACTCGACTTACGTGCCGCCTCTCCAGAGCGTTCATTGCGCGCAGCCTTACACGACGTTCACTTGACATGCTTCACATGTCTTACACATCACATCATCATCACCATCATCATCATCATTATCAGGGAGATGGACGATCATTCATGCAATTTTGGAGAGCGACCCTCCCTCCCTTAAACTCCATCTAAATAAATAAATAAACAACACCACTGCACCACCCTGACCCACTACAATAAACGCACATTCTAATGCAGTACGTCACGCATGCGACGATTTGTGGTCATATGTGTCATGTGCATGAGCGTGCAGGATGCACAAAGAGGAGGACGAGCCCGACGGTGCACGGGATGGACGGCGTGTACGTCCGCTACCTACCATCCTGCATTCGGCCACGGCGCGCTGGGCTCTGCGGCTGCTCTCCGTGCTCTCCCGCCGCTGGGGGTCTCGATAGAGGGGCTTGCCGATCTGGAAGATGGTCCCGGCCGATCTGGGGCGGTTTTTGCGCCCATTCGATGCAGAACTCATGCATACACACCCACTAATAAAACGGTCCTGATACGGAACGATCTCTCCCGTCTGCTTCGCCCCCACCCCCCCTCACCACCGCCACCTTTCTCCTCCTCCTCTTCTCAACTCTTCACCGTCCTCTTTCTATACTCTTGTCTCGAACCTGTCTTATGGCTGCCAGTCGGTTGTCCTCTCAGACCCCACCTCCCGAGAGTGGGGCCAGTCGTGCTCCCGGATGAGAACGGGCGATGAGGATGAAGAGGCGGAGGGTGCGCGCCTCTTCTCTGCATCAAGTCACCTTCACTCCCGCGGCCGGCAGCTCACAAGCGGGCTCCTCGCTTCATCTGCTCCTCACGCATCATCCAGCACAACGCGTCCATATCTTGTGCTTTGCACCGAGGACCGCTGGCAGAGGCGGCCGATAAGCATCTGCTGCCTCTTCGCAGCATTGAAGGCTGCAAACGTCACCGCCTAATATTTTTTGGGGGAGGAGGGGGGGGGCACTTTGGCGTGCAAATCTGCACATTCATTCACAAATCTCCCCCCTCTTTCCTCGGTTCCTCCTCTTGTAACCTTGGAGGAGCGTTTTGTAGCAGGCTGCATGGGGGGAGGACAGTGAAACATTACAACCCCCCCCCCCAAATACAGTTTTATCCCCCCCCCACCCCCGACGTGAAATAAATGTAAGTGCATGTATGTAAAAACTCGAACTCAGATTCACACCCAAAATTCACTATTTCTTTACATTTTAAAAGCAGCTAGCCCCAAATCAATTAAAATGGGTTACGAATTGTACTTTTGCCCCAAAAACAGGTCATAGTCCGAAAACATTAACAAATCCAATTTCATCATATTGGCTGTTTTCCTAAAAAGTACTTTCACTATGTCGTTTCAAGGACTGTGCTACTCACAAGCTGTTTAAAGTAGGATTGTGAGGAGCCATTTGGGTCGACAGCAAATCAAGTAGGCTGTGCTCACACCCACAACAGCGCAAAATGCCCGTTTTAATCTGTGGCATGCCGCATGTGCCTGCAAAAATGGCAACCTCGTCTAGCCAGCATGCCTCCTGGCAGATTTAGACCCCCGCCATGTTCTAGACTTGCACTGGGCACAAAACTAGAGCCCTTGTTCATAATAAAGTAGCATGGTGCCCGATGGGTTACCGCATCTGTCTCCCAGTTGAGGTCTTCTTGGGTTCAAATCTGAGTGGAATTTTCCATGTTCCGTATGGTTTCTTCCTGTATTCCAGAAACATTACTGAAGGGTGAATGTGAACGCTTGTTTTCAAAATATTTTGTGCATAATTAAACAAGGCTGGTGAATTCATTATTGTGAATTGAGAACACCTCCCTCACAGTCGACATGCATGTGCAAGTGTACCTAATATGATGTCTCCTTCTATTTTAATGGCTATGAATCATGCGGTTTCAATGCTTCTGATCAACCCACCGCCATTGAGGCACAGAACATGTTGTTTATCATCTGGAACACAGAGAACATTGGATGCCCAAATGTGCCTCCTACACAATATACCCTTTCAATCGTTTATTAATGGCTGATAACAAGATGACACTGCCGCTGTTTTCCCTCCACTCAACATCCCACCTGCTTGTCTCCACAGTAAAGCAAACGGCATATACTTATCATCATCATCATCATCATCATCATCATCATCATCATCACCACCAGGCTGTCAAAAAGAGGGGAAAAAGAGGTAACAGAGGATGCAAAATACGAAGAAGCCAACAATCCAGTTGACAGAGTAAATGTAGATGATGACCATATCCATGTCAATATGCCAGCTGCGGGTGTTGTCATCAAAGTCCAATGCGCTCAGATGGAAACCGCCTCCCGCGTGGGGCAACTGATGCTGCGCGCCGGGACTGGATGGCCTCCTGAAACCTAGATGGCGGAGGACAAATTTTATATGCTCACCTCAGGTTGTTTTTAGCATGACACTGCTCACTTTGCAGGGATGTGCGCTCAGGGTAGGCAAGTAAGGCGGCGCTCACCAGTCATGAACTAAGAATGAAGCTGGTCCACCTCCATTTCTTACATGCATCCATCCATCCATTGTCTGATCCACTTACCCTCACAGGGGACACCCTGAACTGGTTGCCAGCCAATCGCAGGTGGTAAGCCGATATTTAACTTATTTAGTTTCCAGCTATTGTCCAAACACTTGATAAAGAGTGCATGTGAAAAAAAGTGGTCGGTGGGTTGCGCCCTGCAGTTGGCCGCCTCTCACCCAAAGTCTGCCAGGATAGGCTCTAGCTCACCCTTGACCCGAAGGAGGACAAGAAAATGGATGGATGAATGGAGTTTATGAATGAGTTCTCTTCGGGTTTCCCAGCGTTTTTGTTGTTGCTTGGTGTTCGAGTGAATGCCGCTCAAGATTTGACCTTGATGCTCGATTTAGACTGAGATGTTTTTCATACTTTGTGAATTTCATTCAAAGGATTACCTCCAAATATTCGGAAGAATTTTCGGCCGCTCGGAAGAGGCCATTTCGCACAACAGGCTTTCTGGAAGTTCTGTTTCCGACATGCGTATTCCTTTGGGAAGAACGTCCTTGCCATTTGGTTTAACTCTGTGGAAGAAAAATCCAAAGACTGTATGAGATATGATTCATTCGGTATACTCCAAAATAAAAAGTGTGACGCAGGGCAAGACTCTCATCCTGCCATGTCTGCATGACCTTGCCTCGGCTAATCAACACAAGAACAAAATTACCATCATCACCATCATCATCTTCATCATCATCATCATCATCATCATCACCAAAAAGAGCTCTCGCCAGTGTGGTTTCGTTTTCCTTGTGACCGCATCCTCTCTGGATTTTTATGGGCGCGGCGGCACACAGAAACAATAAAACGAGCCCGCTGTGGGTCGTCTCATGTCATTACTAATTTACAGATTAGTGTGTGCTGCTGACTAACCACAATATTAGGCCCGCCTGTATAACATCTAATGAGATCCAATGCAATGCAAAGATAGCAATAAGGCTCTTTTGTGACAATCAGAGCGGTATTCATTAAAAACAATAATGTGGTTTAAATTTGTGGTGATGTATATCTTGCAATATGTTGCAAATACAGTCGAGTCTGTACTCCAAAATGTACTGTTTGTTTTTGACCTGATTCCACAAAATCTCCACCATCAAACTTTGTAGAGGGGAGAACAGAACACTACATTTTGGTGGCCATTTTGCATTATGAAAGAGAATTAAAACCACAGTCAAAAAGTAAAAATCTATTATAATACAAGATAGAGCCTTAGTACTAGAGGAAAATCCATCCGTCCATTTTCTGATCCGCTTTATCCTCACAAGGGTCGCGGGGCATGCTGGAGCCCACCCCAGCTGTCTTCGAGCACTCGGCGGGGACACCCTGAACCGGTTGCCAGCCCATCACAGGGCACATAGAGATGAACTCACACCAAGGGACAATTTAGAGTGTTCAATCAGCCTACCATGCATGTTTTTTGGAATGTGGGAGGAAACCAGAGTACCCGGAGAAAACCCACGCAGGCACGGGGAGAACATGCAAACACAAGAGGAAAATTTTTAAGAAAAAAAAAAAAATTTTAAATCAAATAGTTGTACATTACTAGATTAAAGTTAAATATTTTTGACATTGAAGTCATACTTTAGAGATTTTTTTTTTTAATTTGTATTTCCAAAAGTTTTTTTCCCACTTTCAATATAGATTTTTTTTTTTTTTTTTTTTTTAGATTGAAGAAGTAAAAGTGCTGGAATACACCTTTATGTTTTCGAGAAAAAAATTCCAGGTGCACCTCATGCACCACGCAAGCCAAAACCACAAGCACTTCTCATCAAAAATCAGATCAATCAACCTCTCTTGAGTTTGTCTCATCTGGTACGCGGTATGGCCTCACCCTTCTGAAAGAAGACGTGCGTGATGATGGTCCTGCAAAGCGGGCAGGGCGTGCTGGCAGGACAGTTCTTGGCCAGCGTCCTCAGGCAAGGTTCGCAGAAGATGTGCTTACACGGCTTACACATGTACGGGCTGAAGTAGATGTCCAAGCACACGGCGCACACGTAACCCTCCTTAGTCACGTCTTCTTTGTCCTCTTCGCTGCCGCTGCTGCTGCCGCCGCCGCTGCTGCTAACACTACCTGTGGAACACTTCAAGAGGAGAAGAGAGGGATAAGATGAATGAAATGAATTGAATTTGTTCGTTGACCAAGTGACGCTTGTAACGGAAATGACTCATAAAACAAATCAAGTTTCCCCAATGAAGTGAAGGTCAACTGCCAAGTCATTTTTAGAAAATCGCAAATGGCATATTTAAATGTCACAAGTCATTGAACAAAATAAATTCGATAAAGCATAAAAACAGAATTTCTATTTCATGGATTTGTAATTAGAACCACACATGTTACAATATTTGTACATGTGGACCAGCCTGAACAATTGTCATGCGCCAATCTCGATGTTAAGAGTTGGGAGAGAACAGTGTTGCGGTGTATGCATCCGAACACTAGGGGAGCCCTAGAGTAAAATAGGAAGCGAAACAAATCTTTTTTTGTTGTCTTGATTTCACCTGAAAATACATAAGTAACAGATGAAAAATGTGTAGACCAGCCAGAAGACCTCTCATGGGCTTATATCGATGCTAAAATTAATGTTCAGTGTCAAATCAGAACATTTTCTTTACTGCAGCTTCAAAATGAATTAGTCCTTTTGTTTTTCGACAGTCCTTTTTACGTAACATAAATCACCGAGGTCCCATGATCCCATGTCATCTTACTTTTTTTTTTTTTTGTATTATTAACCAGAGATTCAACACTCCACCGATGAGGCTTTTAAACATTTATTATCACTATGAAATATCCTTCCTTCTCCTGGGAATCCATGCACATAGGGCATCCTCTTTTAGTGTGTGGAGGTTGTGTGTCATATACTTTTGAGTTTTCTCTCTATTCGTTGACACCCACATGCACGAGATAATATGTGTGATTGAAAAGTGCCATGTCAGGTGAGATTTTCGCAGAGCGAGATTGTCTGTCAATGTTTTCTCACATCTGGCGCCGTATTAGAGTGCGGGGCAAACAGAAGGGGAGTCAGGTGGAATACACGGTCCTTTGGATGTAGAATTATAGTTTAGGGCATATTCTTAACCTGGTTTTTGCATCTCTTTCTACAGCACTACCCCCACAATCCCGCTTATCTTCCCTTGGGTCATCCCCTCCCGAGAGCCTGCATGCACACACATTTGCTCACACACGCACACAAACACCCCCCACAGACACAGCTTCCCATTTCCCAAATAACAGCCGTAAGCTCCTCCGGGAAGATGCGTCTGACCTCTTTTGTGCCGACATCTGCCCCTCAAGTCCCCCTCCATCTTCACCTTGAAATAGTGCCACATATAGACAGGTGACACATGTTCACTCCTTACATACGAGCGGAGCAAAGGGTTGCTTCCAGAATGATTACCGCTAGAAAACTCCCAGGGGGGTGCGAGGAGACCTCGGCAGTGCCGGCCCATCCTCCCAAGGTGTGTCATTAACACGCATGGACCAACGCACCGTGTAATAACTCCCAGACTGAACTCTACTATGGTCGAGGCGACTTCTATTACAAACCAGTGTAACAATAGTTTGAAGCTAACCGAGTGACTCTCCTTTAAAAAAAAAAAACACAGCCCTGAAAACTATGAACTACTTTGAATTAAGGGGCAAAGGCAAACCAAACGTCGCAGCCAGGCTTTAAGTTGAGCGGTGAGGGCCCTCGACTCCCAGCAGTGGCGCCATCGGTTTGAAGCCAGAATTGTATTGCTTGGACGCCTTTAATTTTTGACATTGAAAATAAAGCTCCCTCTCCAATTTGCTGAAAAAAAAACAGAAGCCGTCAAAACAATGCAAAAGAAGCAGTTCAAGAGGTTGACCACAGAGTTACTCTCCTTAAAAAAAAAACCCAGCCCTGAAAACGACGTACTACTTTGAATTAAGGGGAAAAGGCAAACCAAACGTAGCGGCCAGGCTTTAAATTGAGCGATGAGGCCCCTCGACTCCCAGCGGTGGCGCCATCGGTTTGAAGCCAGAATTGTATTGCTTGGACGCCTTTAATTGTTGACATTGAAAATAAAGCTCCCTCTCCAATTTGCTGAAAAAAAAACAGAAGCCGTCAAAACAATGCAAAAGAAGCAGTTCAAGAGGTTGACACTGAAATAGAAAGTGGAAAAATAGAGGCTCAAAATAAGTTGGCAATCAAGGGTATGCCTTAAGACTATCATTAAAAAAATACAAATCACAGTAGAACACCATATTGTATGAGCGGAAAAATAGAAGCTCAAAATAAGTTGGCAATCAAGGGTATGTCTTCAGACTATCATTAAAAAATACAAATCACAGTAGAACACCATATTGTATGTTTTAATCGTATTTTTCTTGATTGGCATTTAAATATATATTTGTTTCAATGCAATCTTTTTCAGTGTCAGTACATCTTTGTGATTTTGTTTAATCACAGCGCTGGCTCCATATTTATTGACCTTGTTTTGTCTTGCTAGAGCGGAAAAGGGGCTTGCCCAAAAAAGGTGAAAGGTGAAGAGGTGCAGGCTAAAGATTCAAGGCGAACTCCTCGATTGATGTATTCATCGTTGCTAAAATTCATCGAGCGTGTCGATAAAAAGAAATCCATTGAGTGGAAGATGCAAAACACAACTTGGCTCTTTTGTCTGTTTTTGTGCTTGAAGAGCTCGCCGCAGCCCAGCTTCATCAGGCGGCTAATCCGCACACGAGCCCACTTCAGGCTGGCCTCACAATGTCAATTGAGATGAGCTTGCGTGCATGACGACGGCCGTGGACGACCACGGTGCGCAGACTGGCCGCGTTCATAAGAAGCGTTAAGAAGCCATTGTGACCATCGCTGCAATCAGCGCTGATCACATGGATGTTATTTCTCTCCTGTTGTCTCACCGCTTTTTCAAAATTGAAACCGAATGAGATGCTCTCTTACTTCGGAGAAAGAAATTCAAATTTAATCTGATGACATCTTCAATAATTTTCCACTCTATGGATTCATAATATAGCGGCATATCACATTATCTATTTGAAGATGATGAAAATCCGACTTTATCACGTCAAGACATTTTAATATTACTGAAGAGACTATAAAAATTCTCACCATTTACACTTCGTAAAATACATATTTGAAAGTCTCCTGCTCCCACTCGTTTTCCAAGAGGCATCGTGTGCTTGCTTCAAGCTGTTCATTTGTCACTCCTGGTTGAAGGTGACCATAAATCTGACACATTAGAGTAAAGACAATAAAGCATGGGATTCAAACACCAAAACAATCAACCGAACCATAGCATTTAATCAAATGTCACAATCTTCATGCCAATGTAATCTGAAGCGCCATAGATGGGCTAATGCCACCTAATGCTCACTAATGTAGCTGTCACGTGAATTATAGACCTTCAAACAACTGCTGTCAACATAGTGATGCTCACCGCCAGGCCGGGATACAGGATAATTCTCTCGACTGTGTGGGCGCAGTGAATATAAAAATGGGGCAAAATGTTAGCTCAACACAGCCGTGATTCTCAACTGGTAGGGCGCGATACAAAAGTGGGACGCATACCTATTACGGGTGGGTCAAGGTGAGGTAGTAAAAAGATTATATGGTGTCCTCGATTGAACGCCTGACATTTTGAGGTTACAAACAGTGCCCACTGAGCAACTTTTTAGAGTGCTGTTAGAATACGTGGTCAGACAGCACACGCTCAGTTAGCAATGGCATAGAAGTGTTTTCCATGCGCATATTTATCATAATGCGGCCCGGTGGTCCAGTGGTTAGCGCGTCAACCTCACAGTGCAGAGGTACCACGTTCAATTGCAGCTCCGGTCTGGAGTTTGCATGTTCTCCCCGGGCCTGTGTGGTTTTTTCCGGGTACTCCGATTTCCTCTCACATTCCAAAAACATGCACGGCTGGCAACCAGTTCAGGGTGTACCCCGCCTACTGCCCGAAGATGGCTGGGATAGGCTACAGCACGCCCCCGCGACCCTTGTGAGGATAAGCGGATCGGAAAATGGATGGATATTTATCATAATCATGACCTGACTGCAAATCACGTCCAAATAGGAATGAAACTCGACCTTGTGTACAAGTCCCCAGTTTAGTAAACTGTCAAAATCAATTTTAAAAAAATAGTTTTAAAATCTGCACTATAGTGAGGGAGTCAATGATGAACCAAAACATAGCAGGGAAACACACCACAGTAGAAACTTCCACCAACAATTCAATCCGGAGGAAGCTGATCAACCAATGATTTGATTTGGAAAATATTTTTGAAACGAATAAAAGTCAGTTGCCTTCTTTAACTGTCAGATAGGTGTAAAAAGAAGTTGACCTGCGATCAACTGCCGTGTATTCAGCCAATTTGGGGGCCTGCTGTCATGTGCATACCTGCTGCTGACTTTGCCTCAGTCGCTCCTTCCTCCTCTGCCTTCTCCTCACACACTTGATTCTCTTCCTCTCCTTCTTGCTCATCCTTCTCTCCAGCACCGCGGGACAAGATGGGCTTGTCAGGTCCATCACGCCGCCGCCCTCCTCGTCTTCCTCTCCCTTCTCATCCAAGTGGCTCGCCTCCCCTTCGTTCATCAAAGTCCGCGACAAGCTTCCAGCTGTCCTCACATCCACCCAGAGGGGGTCTCTGGGTGGACGGCCGGGTGGCCTCGCGGCGGTCATCCCGGATGACGAAGCTCTCTGAGGGCGCGAAGGGATGGGCGATGCGCTTTGAATGAAGGTGAGGGACGGGGGAGGATGCCGATGAAGGGTTTTACTCGTGAAGGATCTTCCGCTTGGCACTTCGGTGGACCCATCTGCAGATTCCACTTGATCCGAACCGGAGCTGGACAGGCTCTCCGTGCTTCCACCTTCTCCTGATCCATCGCCAATATTTTCAATACTGATCCTCTTCCTGCGTCTGCCTCTTCTTTCCCAACCTCTTGTGTGACTTCCTTCATCTCCATCTCGTCTGTTCTCGCTGTGGACTTTCCTTCCCGGAAGCGGAGGTCGCAGAAGCTGCTCCACGGGGATCCCGCTTTCATTCTCATCACTGACCCCCACGTGGGTGTTCATGGCTGCACCTTTAAGCCCCAACGACGCTCTTCCTCTTCATCCTCACGTTTCTCCCCACTTCTTTACCTTCGGGCTGATTTTGAGCGCACAGGGGATGGTTCCAGTGTGCAGCTGGCGAAGCCTGAAGCTCCCCCTGCTCTTGCCCCTCTAAACAGACTGCGAGTGAGCCCACTGGGATGTTCCATGTTGTTGTTAAAAAAAAAAAAAACGTTCCACCAGCCTGCCCAGTGCCCTCTTGTTATAATAGAGTACAATAGGATGAGGCCTGCTCATGGTCCCTTTGTGCGGGCAACACAGTGCAGTGCGGCCACTGCGGGCACAACATAAGGCGGGAAAAAAAAAAAAAACATTCGTCATATGCAGTCAGCTTTTTCCCAGCCAGAAGGAAAAGAAATATGAGATGTGAGTCAACGACCTTTTACTGAAACTGAAAAATATCAGGATGTTCAATAATTGGGTGAACCAAGCGCACAGGCGTTTCCTATGGAACTTGAATGCAGCACGAGCATCCTGCTGCTTTTATGAACTCTGTAATGACAACACATTTTTCTTATCGTATGTATATTATACAGATCATACAAGCACCAACCAAGAAAACACCTTGCTCTTTTTTTTTCCTTTGTCATGTCATTAAAACAGTTTACTTTTCAAATTGGTATGCATCGACCGTTCCTCACGTCGGCGGTCAACTTCGACTTCTACCAGCTCATCAACGGAAAAAACAAAAAAAACAATCGGTCATCAAAGTAAATAATCATAATATTTTATGGTGCTATCTATCCATCTATCTATTTATTCATGTATGTATCTATTTATGTAAAATCGATAGAACGTGTATGATCTGAGTGTGTCTGACTAGTTCCTCCATGGAGGTTCCACTTCCACCTCCCCACACCAAAGCCCAAACGCCAAATCGGCCTCAGAACTAATAAAGGTTTTCTTAAAATGAACTCATGCTACCTTATATCTGGCATCTATCAATTTGTGGGTAGAGCTCGTCATATTTTTATAATGTAGGCTACACTTTTTTTTTAACATTTTCATTTGATGGTGCGAGGTGCAGTTTTTTTTCGAATGACAAATCTGTGCGTTGGCTCTGTAAAATTTGAGACACGGCTCTAGAATCAGGAGAGTATTGCACCGGAACTGGGTGCAATACTGCCTGTGTGCAGCAGATAGCAGCAGCAGCTGCCCTTTCTATACACCGTTAAAGTTGTGAAATAGCTCGCACGGCTTTTTCATGAACTCTTATTAGTGTTTTAAAATCCACAACATCGTGTCACATTCCAAAATTGCACTATAGATCTGGAATTAATTGTTTGAAAGAATTGATGAAGGTTCACCTTAAAATCCAGCCTGAATCACATCATCTGGCGTTTGCATTATTTAAAATAAAAAAACGTTAATGAGTGAAGGGAGACAGAAGAGAGCAGCAATCCGGCGGAGTGAGATGTGAGGTGGAAGAGAGAAAGAGGAAAAAAAAAGGGGGGAGCAGTCGGCGTACGAGCGCCTCTTCAAGGGGGAGAGACCCCTGGGTCTGACGTGTGGCGAGGCTGCTGCTATAAAATCATTCACGTCGTCACCGAGCTCAGATGACTCTCGGCACCAGTGAGCGGGCAAGGCTGTCACCTCTCACGGGACACACACCCCCACATGTAAAACAGTACGCGCGCGCGCACCCAAGCGCGCGTCATGCGTCCTGAGAGTAACTCGCCACCTCGGCTGGAGCGCGCCAGGACGCACGCGATGAGCACCGGTGCCGGTACCGGTAGTGGCTGAGGGACAGCCAGCTTCGCAACCCTGACATCTTCCCGGGCTGGCTGCATGCCCTCCCCGCGCCGAGCCGGGAAAGTTGCGCTCAAAGTATGGATTACCTTCCGGACAGAGGTAACAATAGCAACGCCACCTTTGGGTACTCGTCCGGGGTGGAGGTGGTGGCGGACTGGCTGGGCTCCAACAACAACACCACCACCACCGGCGGCGGCTCCGACTCCTTCCCGTACGCGCAACTGGGCTACCAGCTCGTCACCTCGCTGCTGCTGGGCGCGCTCATCCTGTGTTCCATATTCGGCAACGCGTGCGTGGTGGCGGCGATCGCCCTGGAGAGGTCCCTACAGAACGTGGCCAACTATTTGATCGGATCCCTGGCCGTGACGGACCTCATGGTGTCGGTGCTGGTGCTGCCTATGGCGGCCCTGTACCAGGTGTTGAACAAGTGGACGCTGGGCCAGGAGATCTGTGACTTGTTCATCTCTCTGGACGTCTTGTGCTGCACGTCGTCCATCCTGCACCTCTGCGCCATCGCCCTGGACCGCTACTGGGCCATCACGGACCCCATAGACTACGTCAACAAGCGCACCCCGAGGAGAGCCGCGCTCCTCATCAGCGTCACCTGGCTGGTGGGCTTCTCCATTTCCATCCCGCCCATGTTGGGCTGGAGGAGCGCCGAGGACCGAGCAGACCCGGACGCCTGCATCATCAGCCAGGACCCGGGCTACACCATTTACTCCACCTTCGGGGCGTTCTACATCCCCCTCATCCTCATGCTGGTCCTGTACGGGCGCATCTTCAAGGCCGCTCGCTTCCGGATCCGAAAGACGGTGAAGAAGACCGAAAAGGTCAAAAGTGAGCGCTGCTTGACTTTGTCCCCCGCGGTGCTCCACAAAAAAAGCAACGGGGAGGCGGGCGGCGGGAGGCCGTGCTTCAACGGCGCCGTACAGTTCGGCGACGAGGCCGAGTCCCTGGAGGTGATGGAGGTGAGCGGCTCCAAAAGCCACCTGGCCCTGCCCAACACCCCGCAGTCGTCATCGCACGAAAACCTCAGCGAGCGGAACTGCGGCGCCAAACGCAAATTGGCGCTGGCCCGAGAGCGCAAGACGGTGAAGACGCTGGGCATCATCATGGGCACGTTCATCTTTTGCTGGCTGCCCTTCTTCATCGTGGCCCTGGTGCTTCCCTTCTGCGCCGAGAGCTGCTACATGCCCGAGTGGCTGGGTGCCGTCATCAACTGGCTGGGCTACTCCAACTCCCTGCTCAACCCCATCATCTACGCCTACTTCAACAAGGACTTCCAAAGTGCTTTCAAGAAGATAGTCAAGTGCAAATTCCACAGGCCGTAAACCGCGCCACTCCATTAGGTACACCTACTGCACCGTCCGCCGGCGTCCAAATGCAAGAGCTGCATCGGAATCACTTTCGTTTTTTTGGTCTGAACCATGTCTATTACTGTGGTTGTAGTTTGCAGTGCATCACACTGTGTGCGTAAAACAAACAAACAAAACACCAGCTAGCTGCTTAGCTTCTTCCATTAGCATCAAAGCTGACACAAAACTGTAAAAGTCTTTTTTTTCACCCTGCAGATGTAATGTTGAACTAGAGTACAAAAAGGACTGACACTGTCAGGTTTTATTTCTTGACTTTATTTAATAATTACCATGAGTTCTTTACTGATCTTTAACTATTTATGTAATGTGGTGATCATATTAGTTTTATATTGTTTGTATATAATTCTGTCAGAGATGTGTTCATTCCAGCAACTACTTTCGATTTTTTTTTTTTTTTTTTTAATGGTTGCATTTTTTATTTAGGTCTAATTTTATTTATTCAATACATTTGCTCTGGATTTTTTAATATTAAATTAATCATTTTTTTCTTGCAATTAAATATGTTATCAAATTTATTAATTTATAATTTATTTAATCTATTTTAATAAACAACAATTGTTACATACCTCTCTTTTTACAGGCAGATGTTTTTTTGCAGCTCTTGACTTCGTGCAGGTGTACCTAATAAAGTGTGCCACGAGAACGCAGGGAAGGACTCACGTTCAGCCACATTTTTGGGGAGTTTCTCAAAGGACAAGAGGACATGTTTACAGACAGTACAGAGAGCAAAAAAACGTTTGTAAAATAGCAATTCAAATGCACAGACTTCAATTCAGGCTCAGTCTTTGTGTGTCACAAAGCCTCTGAAAAAAAAAACAACCAAAAAAACAAAACAAAATGAGGACTCTTCATATGTGCATCGATTCAGTGTTGTGCCCGCTGTGTTTGTTGCCTGTATGCAATGACGCCCCAGCGTTGCCAAGTGCTCACCATCCATGCATTTCTGTCATGCAGGTCAACATCACAAGCTTTGTAGCACTGAAACAATAAAATGCAATCCAAGTCAGTCCTTATGAAGCTAACTGGAGTCCATTTCTGGTTGGGGAAACAAGGAGAGCAATGAGGCAGCCTTGTTATTAACTTATTTCTGCTCATAAATCTTCATCTACGTCACATGGCATTTATCATGTGTGGTGCAGCTTGGGGAGGGCAGGGGGGGGGGCAAAGCAACTTATCATACTGATGATGCTGATGATGATGATGATGATGTTATCAACAGCGTGTCTGAGGCCGTTCTGCAAGTGGACACCGAGCAAAGGCTTTCCCGCAGCTATTTATGACAAGAACGACAAAAACAACAACAAGGTGAAGACAAGATAGAATGGATGGAGGCAAAGTGTGTTGTCGTCTTCATAATTCACACAGCGGACACTTTATTAGGTATTGTGCCTTTATGAAAACAATAAGAAACACTAAAAACATGAATGCAGCTATGGGTAAGGAATTACATGTGGTGTATAAAGTCAAAAGTGATACCACATCCCACAATGCAATGGAGTACTATGTGACACTACTGCTACTACTAAAAATAATAATAATAAGAAAATAATAATAATAATAATAGGTGGCACGGTGGGCAACCGGTTAGCACGTCCACCTCACAGTGCTGAGGTGCAGGGTTTGATTCCGGCTCCGGCCTTCCTATGTGGAGTTTGCATGTTGCCTGCGTAGGTTTTCTCCGGGTACTCCGGTTTCCTTCCACATTCCAAATACATGCACGGCAGATGAATGGAACACTCTAAATTTTCCCTTAGGTGTGAGCGTGAGCGCGGATGTTTGTTGATCTATTTGTGACTGCGATTGGTTGGTAATCGGTTGAGGGTGTACGCCCTTGCCTACTGCCCGAAGACAGCTGGAATCGGCTCCATCATGCCTGCGACCCTCGTGAGCACTAAGCGGATTAGATAATGGTCGGATGGTTGGATAATAATAATAATGACAATGTTTGTATATTACAAATATAAATAGTGATTCCAATAGGCTACTAATGCTATTACCCCGACTACTACTACTAATAATGTAATGAAATGTAGACTTAAATAGAAAAGAAAGAAAACAAGAAAGAAAAAAATGAAATTAGGTAATGTCGACAATGGAAAAAAATAAATACTTGCAATATATTAATAATAATAATGCATTAGTTTTATAGAGCACTTTGCTGGACACTCAAAAGGCCTTTCACAGTATTAAGTAGAAAGCAGGTGATCAAAAATTGCAAGAGTAACTATGACAACTTTTGAAAAAGGCCACGGTGTACCGCAACAACAGCAACATAAACAATATCATCATCAACAACAGCCAAATAAACAAAGAAAGGTCATGACGGTCATCAAAAATTGTTAAAGTAAATGGTTATTATATTCTTAAAAAAAAAAAATTGAAAAAAAAAAGAGGCGCAGTACTGACCCTGGGTTGTTCGCCAGTCATTCGCAGGTCGCATGTTGACAAACAGCCATTCACACAAAGGATGTTTAACATGGATGTTTTGGGAATTTGGGAGGAGGCCGCCGTACCCAGCGAACATGCAAACTCTACACAGGAAAGAGCAAAGATTCAAACCCATAACCTCACAACTGTGAGTCGCATCCATTAACCACTTTACCGCCATTCCGCCAAGTATAGCCCTACAATAACAATGAAAAATGAGAATATGCAGGAATCCTCCACTTGCGTAACTCTCGCCTCTCACGCCCAAACCGGCTACAAATCCACTTAGAGCGGATGAGAAGATTAAAAAAAAAAAAAAAAAAAGTGGAAGAAGGAAACAGGAGTTTCAGGAAGTAGCCCCTGCAGGGAGGTTCACAGGCCACCCAGGGTGGCTGGCTGATTACTCAACTCATCACCATGGCAACAAATCAAAGCCCAGGCATTGAGAGTCAGTGGCAGATGGAGGAAGAGAGAGAGAGAGAGAGAAAAAGAGAAAGAGAGGAACACTAGACAGCATCACAATGTCGAGACGACACCTGTGGCATACAAACAATGGTGAAAGGTGCCAGAGATGATGTCGAACATCCCACTCACTGGTCAAAACATGAATGTGCACCTGCACACTTAAAAGAGAGCAAAGTGAACGTTCTTTCAAAGGACTCCGAATCCAAGCAGCTTCTCTGGCTGTATACAGTTATTCATCAAACAATGCGTTGATTATTACGGTTGGAGAAGAGCGCCGCATCATGCAGAGGGCCGCGTTACTAAACTAGAGGTAAATAATTAGCTACTAGCTAATGCTGTGGCTGGTTAGTATATTGAAGTCATCAGTTACTTTATAATTTCTTTTTAAAACTAAAGCACAAACTAAAGGCCTCACATAGTGGTAGTTGATCGGTAAGTAGTCCGACGGCTGTTTCTTTGCTTTCTATCTTTTCTTTTTTTTTTTTTTCCAATGATGTAAAAATGTCCTAATTTGGAATTCACTGTCTGTGTTTCAAAGACGAGGGAGGATGTGCCTTAAGTTGTTGAGGCCCAAGTATGGTCCACCAGTCGCTTTGTGCTTTTTGACAGAATAAAATGTCATGTGTATTTTGGACATCAAGAAAAAAAAAAAAGATCGGCACTTTCTTTGCACTTGGACACGTTTTACTCACAATTACTTTTTTTTTTTTTTTCCCCAGAGAGAACTTTACTATACTAACCAGCAAGGATATTAGGTATTTATAATGAGTTACTTTTAATTAACCCTTTCAGGGACAGTGGTTACTACAGTTTATCATTTTATCAGGTTATCATTATTAGTGCATGAAAGTGTTAAGGTAACCAGATTAAAATAGATTCCAGCTCACCCACCTAGCTCAGCACTAGAGGAAATGATGGATGGATTTTTTTTTTTTTTTGCGGTAATCATTTAATAAAAATTGTATTATCAAGGTTGCAGTTTCTAATGGTGTAGAATTGCACTGCATCATATTGAGATTGTTTTTTTTGTCGCTATCTCAAGTGTTTTAACACATTCTGATAAGATAGAAAAAAACTCATTGCTGATTTTAGCATCTGTCACATTTAAAAACAGAATGTCTGTTATGCATAACTTATACATCATATAACCTGAAAAAGTTGCGTTGATAGATCCAACTTGTTTGTCGCTTTGATAAAAGCCAAGACATCTTTAACAGGTCAGAAAATGATTCACTTGTGTCTCAGAGCGATGGAAGTCTTTTATTGTTTTGGTTGCAAGCGAGAAAGAACGAGTATCTTCCAGTTTCCCCAATTTTTTTTCTCTTAGAAAATTCCGAAGAAGAATGTGACAGAGGAGCCAGCAGTCAGCACAATACATGTTCCTGCTTCAACACCTCCTTACTTCACATCCTTTGTCATTTGTCTGAGGTTTTTTTTTTTTTTTTTTTTTGGGTGGGAGTCCAATCCTGAACGGCTATGGGAGAAGCGTTGCGAGCGGTAGAAGCGCCAGACCTTTTGACGGAGAGAAATGAGGGTCAGCCGCTGGTCTCAGATATAGTTTTTTTGTTCTCATTTATTTTAGTAAGGATGGAGTTGGACTGTCTCTATTTGCTAGAGCTGTACACACGCACACGCACACACACTCGTAGCTGCGATAGAGGACAGGCACGGTGCACTCAAAGCCAACAAACAGAATAAACAATGTTTAATGCAGCCTGCCAAATGGCGCCAAACATTCCCAAAGCACAAATGAGAAGCAGTGCTGTTGGTAGCGCCTTACTATAAGCACACTATATTTCCCAGTCAGGTCATCAAACTGCAAAAAAAAAAAATGACTTTGCAGTTTATGTTAACTTCAATTTGAAGGTGACGTCAGGATTTCAGAGTTACAATACGTCCTCCGCGAAAGACAGGTGGAGTTAATAGCCTCCAAGTTGCTGCAGCCTTTAAAAAATTGACGAGGCTAATTTAAACAGCACATACTTTTCGGCCATGGCCATCCTTCACTCGCGTGTTGCGCAGACAACAAATCTCAGAGTGAATGAATAATAAAATAAAGGTGCACACCACATTCCAAACGCAATTGTACTCACTTTCTGAAACCAGCGACCTTTCTCCAACCAGGAGGGTGCAAAGCGTTCAAATTTCCAACACGTTCTTGAAGAATATGAAACTCCTTGTTTATTTTAAGATACTTGGCCAATAACGATGATTGTGAAAGTCAACTGGAAACAATTTGGGTTTTCACGTTTTCATTCACGTGGGAAAAAGCTGACATTGCACCACGGCTGTAAAGTGCGCCCTCTCTGATTTTTAGAATGCGATGAATCATGTCAAAGAGTGGCGGTGCATGTACAGTACAACCATGCACTCACTTGCAGGCATGGAATCGACCCGCAAAATCTATATTTGTAGCAGTGTGATGTCCGGTGCCAAAGTTATCACTGAAAAACAGCCTTAAGCATCGGGCTGAAAGAGTGACTTTGGACCTTTTTTTTTTTTTTTCTACACGGCATGTGAATCATTGTCGAG